GGTAATCTGACTTGTTTCTTTCCTGGAAATACTGAATAGTAGTGCTAGAAAAGAATATTGAACATACCATGGACTTCCAGAAGAACAAACAGGTCTGGAGAGAGTTAAACCAAGATGCTCTCTGGAGGCAAAGATTTTGAAGCTCCTTCTCACATACTTTAAGCATGTGGCCAGGAGGAACAAATCCTTGGAGAACTACTTCATGCTTGGAGGGGTAGAGGGACAGCACAGAAGAGGAAGACCCAGGATGAAATGGATTGACATGGTAACTGGGGCAATGGGATTAGGTATGTAGGAGTCAGTGAGACTGGCTCAGAATAGGGTAGTGTTCAGAGCTAAGGTACCTGTGAGTTGCTATGAATCACAGGCAACCTGATGGCATGTTAACAACAACAGTATATGAAAACTAAGAACTGATTTGAAATTGACCTGTTCCTCAGTCATTAAGATTCAAATGTAAATATTAATGTTAATTTGTACAGTTGTTACTAGATGCCATCAAGTAGGACCCATAATGACTCTTTGAACAACACATCTGAACCCTCTTTTCTTTTGCTGACCCTCCAACTTTTCTAAGCATGAATGCCTCTCTTCAGCAACATATCCAAAGCAGGTGAGACAAAGATTTTTCATCTTTGCCTCCAAGGAGCATTCTGGATGTGCTTTTTCCGACACATACTAATTTGTTCTTTTGGAAGTCCATGGGATATTCAGTACTCTTCTAAAACACTACAGCTCAAAGGCATACATTCTTCTTCGATCATTCTTAATTATAGTCTTGCTCTCAGCTGTGTAGCAAGTGATTGAAAAGACCATGGCCTGATTTAGGTGCACCTTAATCTTCAAACTGACATTATTGCTCCTCAGTAATTTGGAGAGATCCCTGAAAACAGTTTTGCTTAATGCAATACATCTCCTCATCTCCTAACTGCTGATACAAAGGGATTGTGGATCTCAGTAAGAAGAAATTGTTGGCAATTTCAAGGAAGAAAAGACCAAAATGGATGTCAGAAGAAACTCTGAAGATTGCACTGGAGCGTAGAGAAGCCAAAGCACAAGGAAGAATCCAAGACACTAAAGAGCTGAACAGAAGATTCCAAAAGGCAGCATGGAATGACAAAGCAAAATACTACAATGAAATGGGCGAGGAGCTAGAGTTGGAAAATCAAAAGGGCCGAACTCGTTCAGCATTTCTTAAGCTCAAGGAACTGAAGAGCAAATTCAAACCTCGAGTTGCTACAATCAAGGATGCTTTAGGCAGAATGTTAAATGATCCAGGAGGTATGAAAAGAAGATGGAAGGAATATACTGAGTCATTGTACCGAAAGGAATTGGCAGATACAGAAGAATTTAATGAAATAGCATTTGAGCCAGAGCCTATGGTGATGAAGACAGAAGTTCAAGCTGCTTTGAAGGAAATAGCAAAAACTAAGGCCCCAGGAATAGATAGTATACCAATTGACATATTTCAGCTAACAGATGCTTCTGTGGATGTGCTCACCAAGTTGTGCCAAGAAATCTGGAGAACAACCACTTGGCCAACTGACTGGAAGAGGTCTATATTTGTTCCCATCCCAAAGAAGGGCGACCCAACTGAGTGTGGAAACTACAGAACAATATCATTGATTTCACATGCAAGCAAGACTCTACTGAAGATTATCCAAAGACGACCGGAACAGTACATCAGCAGAGAACTGCCAGAAGTCCAGGCTGGGTTTAGAGGGGGTCGTGGTACTAGGGATATCGTAGCTGATGTTAGATGGATCTTAGCTGAAAGCAGAGAATACCAGAAGAATGTATATCTGTGTTTCATTGATTATGCAAAGGCATTTGACTGCGTGGATCATAACAAACTGTGGCTGACTCTGAGAAGAATGGGAATCCCAGAACATTTAATCGTGCTAATGTGAAACCTATACTTGGACCAAGAGGCAGTCGTCAGAACAGAGCAGGGCAACACTGCATGATTCAAAATTGGGAAGGATGTACGCCAGGAATGTGTCCTGTCTCCATACCTTTTCAACCTGTATGCAGAGAAGATTATCCGAGAGGTGGGGCTCTATGAGGAGAGGCGTGGCTTTAGGATTGGTGGACGATCTATCAACAATCTGCATTACGCAGATGACACAACCTTGCTTGCTGAAACTGAGGAGGACCTCATGCACTTGCTGCAGAGGGTCAAGGACTGCAGCCTTCAATATGGACTGAAGCTCAATGTCAAGAGGACAAAAATTCTCACCACTGGACCAATCGGTAGCATCAGGATGGATGGCGAAGAGATTGAGATTGTTCACAGCTTCAGTTTGCTCGGCTCCACGGTCAACACTCTTGGCACCAGTAGCCAGGAAATCAAAAAACATATTGCGATGGGAAAGTCTGCGGTTAGGGACCTCTCCAAAATACTCAAGAGCAACAGTGTCTCTCTGGAGACTAAGGTCCGCCTGATACAGGCCATGGTTTTTGCAATCACTTGTTATGCATCAGAGAGTTGGACAGTGACTAGGGAGGATAGAAGGAGAATTGACACCTTTGAGCTGTGGTGCTGGAGAAGAGTATTGAATGTACCATGGACTGCCAAGAAAACAAACAGATTCATCGTAGAGAGAATTAAATCAGGCTGCTCCTTGGAGGCAAGGATTCTGGGGCTTCGTCTGACATACTTTGAACATGTTGTAAGGAGAGACAGGTCTTTAGAGAGGGACATCATGCTGGGTAGATTAGAAGGACAGCGCAGGAGGGGAAGACCCTCTATGAGGTGGATTGATTCAGTGACTGGGGTACTCGGGATGGGTGTGTCAGAGGCAATGAGATTGGCACAGGATAGAGCACGGTTTAGGGCTATTGTACATAGGGTCGCTATGAGTCGCAAATGACTCGATGGCACATAACAACAACAACATCATGAAGTTACTTATCTGTCCAGTGGTGAGGATTTTTGTCTTCTTGATGTTGAAATGTACTCCATATTGAAGCTTATAGTACTTGATTTTCTACAGCAAGTGCTTCAATTCCTTCTCATTTTTAACAGTCAAGGTTGTGTCATCTCCATAATCTAGGCTGTTGAGTCTTCCTCTGATCCTGAGGCCACATTCTTCTTCATAGAGTCCAGCTTTTCAGCATACAGACTGAATAGGTATGGAGAAAGGATACAACCCTAACACTTGTCTTCCTCACTTTAAACCCTTACTCTGTTCTGACAATAGCTTCTTGCCCTAGGTAGATTTAAATGAGCATAATTAAGTGTTCTGGGATTCTCATTCCTCTCAATGTTAGCCATAGTCTATTATGATTCAAACAGACAAATGCCTTTGCTTAGTCAGTAAAACACAAATAGGCATTTTCCTGGTATACTTTACTTTCAGCTGGGATCTATTTGACATCAGCAATGATATCCCAAGTTTATGGTTTTAAATACTGTCACATATAGCATCTTACATAAAACTACCTAACGAAGCTGATAGCAAAAATACTATTACCTAGGTAAGTATGATGCCATTGTCATTGAGTCAAAAGACTTATGGCAACTCCATGTGTGCAGAATAGAACTGTCTTTCATTAGAGTTTCAAGGCTGTGACTTTTGGGAAGCAGATAGCCAGATCTTTCTTCAAGGCACTTGTGGAGAGATGAAACCACCAAGGTAATCTGCACTGAACAATATGACATCAAAATTGTGGTGAAAAACATGATAAACTGTTCCCTACAAGTTAGTAGGAAAGCATAAGTAAACCTCAGCTTCATTTTTTTTTAACAGGATACTCTGTCACTGTAGGGGAACTCTGGTGGCATAAGGGTAAGACGCTGCAATGCAATGCTAAAGGCAAATGGTTCGAATCCAATAGTTGCTCCCGGGTAGACGACAAATGGGCAGTTTTCTCCCATGAGATTTACTTACTCTGAAAACCAGCTGGAGGATCAGCTGTTGGTTGGTTCCCACTCTATAGTACATAATAACAATAACAATCGTCACTGTCAGGAATTATAAATTGGAAAAAAGATTGATTCTGTAGGAAGGTGCTGTGGGTTTGGGAGAGAGGCAGATGCCAGCCATATCTAGAAGCAGAATCTTTGATGGAGTCTATGGATTAGTAAGTAAACACAAGTAAACCTGTGCTTTCTTTTCTTATTGGGTCATCCAATGCTGCCACCAATCTTTCAGTTCCAAATCAAGCACCTAACAATTTGTACCACCCAGAGACTTGTAGATAGTAACACTCTCACATTCACTAGATTGGAAACTGAGGCACAGAGAGGTTCACTGAGTTAGTCAGAATCAGATGGCTGTGGCAGAAAATACTTAGGTGTCCTGTCATTCATGCATTCATTTCCTCCCTCCACCCCTTGCCCCCAAGTTCACTTTTTTCTCCCTGAGAAGAGAAGCCTTTGTCTTGAGGAATGGAATATTTGAGATAAAATGTTCCTCTTTGCCTCTGATTATACTGAGACTTGGGTCAATTCCCCAAAGGATAATTCCCGCATTCACCTCCAAGTCGTCACTCTTACTGTCACTTTTTAATTCCACAAAGTTCAACCTCTCCCCATTCTTTTGCCTCTCCCACTCAGTATTTTGGGAAATAACATTTCACTAAAGCTTTCCCAAGAATCCCTGCTTTTAAAGAAATCTCCCTTTCTTCCTGACATTGTTGCCAAGTACTGCTATATTCTTCTCCTCTGCTTCAGACCAACTCTGAACGCTGGCCTTGGTTCCTCCTACCCTCATTTCTTAACCAGCAGCAATCAGACTTCTGTACTACCCAGATACTAAGACAGCTGGGTCCTGATGCTTAGCTGTAATTAGGCCGTCACTGAGAGCAATGACCCTTCCAGAAAATGTTTAGAGATCAGAACTTTGTGTTTAGAAACCTCGTGTGGGTGGAACTTCCTGTTTGCTCAGAGAACACAGCATAAAGCCCAGTTGCTCTGAGGTGCTTTAGGAACCGGACTGAGTGCAGGGAGTAGGACACAAAGCAGTCTGGTCTCCCAGGTCCCTTCTCCCTGAAGCATGGCGACGAACAAACTTACTTACTCAAATCTTCCTCTTCTGCTCCTGGTCATCTTGCACACAGTCTCTGGACATCCGTGAGTTCCATACAGAGCTTGAATTTTAAGAATCTTTTCCTTCTTGTCAGAGTGTCTTTTTATAGCATTCATTTGTGTTTTCTAACCACAGCTTTCTTTTCTCTAATGTTTTGTTGTTTGGTTTTTTTCTGACCATGAGGTTATGTAGCTGATGTATATACATTCCTCTCTTATTCTTCTAGGTAGACGTCTAACTCTCTAAATTTCTTTTTAAAAAATGCATAAGAAATTAACACATTTTTAAAAAAAAGAAATTAACACATTCAAAAGAATCCATTTCCAGATATCATTGTATATATAAAGTATATAAGCATCTATCTTTAAGATAGATTTCATCTAACTACTATAAATATATAAAAATTATATGTGTATTTAATGTGCTTAAAACTATGCTAGTTACCCTTTCTTACCTGTTTGTCTTACACTTCAAAAAAGATAGACAAGCTTTTCCTTCAGATCTTACTATGCAGTGTTTTCCTGGGATATAAAAACCTCAAGCCTAACAAATAAGGAATAATTTGAAATACTGATGTTGATACTGAGAAAGTAAAGGCCTATCAGTACTGGGAAGAAAGTATTTTTTTAGGTCAGATGTAATAAATTCTTTGTTTCAACAAACTTAAAGAAGGATATGAAGGAACTATCATCTCAGATTATTTAAAATAATTATTAAAATTGTATATAGATTATTTTCAGCATATAATGCAGAAAAAATTGCAAGATGTGTGTGGCAGTGATAAAAATGTTTTGCCAGTTAATTATGTATTTATTTGTCAACAGTTTTTTCTGTACTTACATCTGTATAAGTATTGAATGTACTTATGTGTTTATGCTGTATATATAATATACTTGTTTGAAAGAAATAAGAGTGACTCAGAAAATATTTTGAAGCGTAACAAAAAAGTCTTAGTAAGTAGTAAGTGGCAAGAAAATTCAAAATCAAGGAGAAAAACATAGAAAGATGTTACTATTTCTGAGCATTAAAAGAAAGAACTTTTAACATAATTTAGAAATAGATTTTGCCAGGCATCTTGTCACTATGATATTTAAGAATCTTATAAAATAGTCAAAGATGTTTTTCATTTAAGTGTCAATTAAGTTCTTTTTTGCTGTTATTTAAACTTGTACTTACAAAATACAGTGTAGTATAGAAGAAGTTTCATAATGCCATAAAGTTCTTCTTTTAGTTTTGTGAGCAAGAATGTTTGAAAACTACAGAGTTAATCTTATGCTATACAAGAGGGTATTGGGAACAATTCTGTCCTGGTTTTAGATTACTAAAATCCAAAGTCCAATCAATAGAGAACCATTCTTTGTGAGAAGCCATTGTCTAGTAATGAGTTGAAAGGTAAATATTTACATGCAAACATTATAGTTAAATAATACACTAATACTGGAGTAGTTGTTTACTACACCTGAGATTTTAAATGCTAAAATATGACTAAGATTCAGATTTCTTATCTATGAAATGGAAGGAAATACTTCATATCATTTTCACAAGATTGTCAGATATATAGCAGTATGTATGTATGTGTATGTGTGTGTATATATATGTAAATACATACATAGATAAGTTTTCTAGATTTATGGCTTTGGTTAGTAACCACACACTTGAGAACTTTTCCTTTTAGAGAAGTTTTCATGTTAAATCAGTTCATACAATTAAACAGAAGTAACGTTACATCTTAATTCAGATGCTTACATATTGGGCTTACTTAAAGTGAAATATGTAATAGTTTTTAATATTTCTGAAGTCCACATCATCAACTGAAATAAATGTTCACTGGAAGGCAGTGCTGCTAATAGAAAGGGAAAAGCATTGTCATAGACGCCAGTCAACAGAAGAGATTAATTTTGTGTTTACCTTGATGTAAAACTAATGACAGTAACAGTGCTTGTTAGAGAAACAATTCTGTTTATAGTAATATCTCTACTCTTACTGAACTTGCCCCCACCTCCCACCTTCCCAGGCAGTATATGGTGCTGGTCCCCTCCCTGCTCCATACTGAGACCACTGAGAAAGGCTGCCTACTTCTAAGCCATCTGAATGAGACAGTGACTGTAAGTGCTTCCTTGGAGTCTGTCAGGGGAAACCAGAGCCTCTTCACTGACCTCACAGCAGAGAAGGACTTATTCCACTGCATTTCCTTCACTGTGAGTATTGCTGTTTTATTTCATTCAGTTCTATTGGTCAAGGACTTCAAGATCTAGTATTCAGGAAGGAAAAGATTTTTGAAAAGCTGATAAGGACTTCAAAAAAGAATCTAAATGTAGCAGATTAGCATGGTAATTAAGAGACAATGCATAAATTTCCAATCATCAGACAGAACTATTTGTAAGCATATTTAACATCAACTTAATTCTGAACCTATGTAATTGTAGAGATAGTTGAATACAATTCTACATGTGTTATAGTGTATGTTGTCTTATAAACTGGGATGTTTTGAAGAAGAAATATTTTTACGTTAAAAAAAAAGCTTAATTTTGCTTCTCTACAACTCAGCTCTGGTGGCTCAGTGATAAGAAGCTGCATTGCAGTGTCAGAGACTTACAGTTCGAATCCACCAGCTGCTTTGCAGGAGAACAGTGAACAGTCTCCTCTCATGATTTATTGCCTCTGAAAACTCACTGGAGGATCAGCTGTGGTTTGGTTCCAACTCAACAGCACACAACAAAAACACAGTTTTACAACTGTCACTATTTTAAATCTTGAAAACAACTCTAACTTTAAAGTGCATATCTCACATCTATAGCTCACAATATTTATTGATATTTTATATCATTTCCTTTTCTTTTCCCTATTTATTGCAAAGCTAATTTTTTAAAGGTAAAAGCAGACAAAAATGAACCTGAATAAGCAAAGAAAAATCTTTGCAGAAATAAACAAAGCAACATATCCAAAATTGTATGCTAAACAGATTGTGCCTTTAAAAAGGTGGAAAAAATCATTAATAAAGCGAATGAGGCCAAGGTCAAATATAAATGGTCAATAGTGAATTGATTGGAACATAGCAGTCACACATTCTTTCTAGGAGTGAAAGCTGTAAAAATTACCCTGAGCAAATGTCCAATATTGCTTTAGTGTTGCCCATGCATGGTATTTCCAATAAAACACTGTCATTTTCTTCCTCATATGTCCGCTCTGCCCTTTTAACAAACCACATCAACTTAGAACATTTTATAGTATGAAATGGAATCAATTTTGTTTTTGTTGAACTGCCATAAATGTGATTCTCATTCTAGCATTTCACTTCAATTTGTGTTCTGTCCCACATTTTTTTTTAAATGGAGGAATTAATGCCTGCCTTTCCTTGATGAAAATGAGGGAAAGCAGTTACATGAAAAATTTAAGCTCTTCAGGCTGAAGTGGGGTAGGAAGTGAGAACAAAGTCTTTGGAGAAATGAATGGGTTTTCAGGCTCTGGCTTGCATTTCAGGTGCCTCGATCTTCAAACAGTGATGAAGTAATGTTCCTCTCTGTCCAAGTGAAAGGACCAACTCATGATTTCAAGAAGAGGAGCACAGTACTGGTTAAAAATGAAGAGAGTCTGGTCTTCATTCAGACCGACAAACCCATCTACAAACCAGGACAGGAAGGTATGAAGAGGTCTATGTCAGAACCTTTTCCCAAAGGAAAAAAAAAATTCTCCCCTGCATACTTGTTCCTGCATTTCTGGTGCCTTAATATCTTATCTCAGTGACCTACAGGCCTGGTTTACAGTTTTTTGTGCTTATGGAAAATATTTCTGTTTTAGTGAAGTTTCGTGTGGTATCATTGGATGAAAATTTTCACCCTCTGAACGAGTTGGTGAGTCTCCTATTATCTACATAAAATTACTATTTGTATATACCCTCTGGAGCCTGTTTTTGGTACTGGGCACAGGATTAGAATAAGAAAGAATATTATGGTATTATTAACAGTAGTTTCTGGCACAAGACCCTCATATAAAACATTATCCAAAATCAAGGGAGGAATGAATTCTGCTTTGAAACTGGTTACCCAATTAATTGGCACGATTAAATTTACTCTTTGGTTTTCAGTTAGTGTATTCAATTATAAGTGAATTATAAATATGTATAATCAGAGGTCTGGTGAGGCTAAAATTAATTTTTAATTAAGATCTTGACTGCTAACTGAACAGTAAGTAGTTCAAACCTATCTGCTATTTCCATGAAAGAAAGATCCAGTAATCTACTTTTGTAAAATTCTATGCCATAAAAATGTATGGGGCATTTCTACTCTGTCATATGGCGTCACTGTGAATCAAAATCATCTCATTATACCTAATAACATACTAAAGAATAGATCCAGCTACACCAACAATGTTCTTTTGCTCAAATAACTTTTAGAAAAAATCTTAAAAATAAAATAACTTTTCAAAGACTTAGACTTTTTCTAAACATATCTACAAAAAGTTGTGAAGTTAGATGAAGATAATTAATGTTTGCCCCTCAAGACTAACACTTCATATTTCTAAGAAGCACCTCTTTCTGTTACAATGTAAACATGAAACTAAAATATCAATTTCTCTCTCCCAAGTCTGTGCCTTCACTGTGATTTTTTTATCTCAACAAAGAGACTTCTACCTCTTGAGGCAAAGATTATGGCTTAATTATTTCTTTTCTTTATCTCACATTCAGATCCACTTCATCTGAAAAAGTATGTTGCCTGAAAATACATCCAGACTACTTCTTAGCACCTCAATCACTATGACATAGTCCTAATCAGCATCTTCTCTAAACAAAACAACCAAAATAACCTTGAAAGCTTTCTCTCGCTCCTGCTTTAACTCCTTGTTCTAAAAGCAAATCCTCCATACAAGACTTTACCTGGATTTATTTTTCTTTATGATACTTGCTAGCATGTGGCATAAAAATAGAGATATTTTAACGTGTTGCCTTGGAGTCTATCCCAATTCATGGCAATCCCCTGTATGTCAGAGTAGCATTATAAGCTCTGTAGTATTTTCAGTGCCTGATATTTTTGGAGATAGACTATCAGGTCTTTCTTCAAAAGTGCTTCTAGGTGCACTCAAATGACCCAAATTTCAATTAGTAGTCAAGAACGTAATCATTTTACAAGTCAGGACTCTAGGTATAGATAAAGACAAAGGTATATTTGTATTTTGTTTTTCTTTTCTGTCCTTTCTTATTACAACATAAGCTCCCTTGCACTGCCAAACTCCAAGTAGGGAGAATGATAACAATATATATTAAGCACTTAATAAATTTTTTTAAAGTAATAAGTATTAACGTAGAGGAGCTTTTCTCACACTTCATTCTGTCATTGTGTTATGTGCTGTGGAGTCAGAATTGGCTCATAACTGACCCTCCATTAGGTTTTCAGAGACTAGTGGATTTTGAACTGCTTGCCTTTAGGGTTTGCAGCATAACTCCTTACCACTAGGCCATCACAACTCCCTTTTCATTTCTTATGTTATTTTCACCATTGAGTTGGAACCAACTCATAGCTGATGCTCCAGTTCAAAAGTAGTAAATTACATAGGAAGAGATTGCCCGTCTTTCTCCCTTGACAGAGCTGGGGGATTCAAACAACGTGCCTTTGAGTTGGCAGTGTAGTTTCTTATCACTAGGCTACCAGAGCTCCTGATTTAACTAACTCTGAAAATCGACTAGAGGATCAGCAATGGGTGAGTTTAGACTCAATGGTACAAAACAACATCTTCAAACCTAGAATTACCTAAAATTCTGAGGTCTATACTGATAATTTTATCTGATTACAGTTACTTATTAAAACTCAAACTCATCACCATGAAGTCAGAACTTACTCATAGCTCCATATGGGTTTCCAAAGCTGTAAACTGCATGGAAGGAGATTGCTCATCTTTCTTCCCCAAAGCTGCTGGTGGATTCAAACAAAGAGTGGCGCCACCCACAGGTTAGACACTTCCTACTGGACTGCACCTCTAGGGAGCTCTGGTGTCCTAATGAGGAGGGCACTGTGTTGCTAACACAAAGACAGACAGTTCAAATCCACCAGTTGCTCCTCAGAACAAAGATGAGCAATCTCCTGTGTTATGGTGGTGGTGGTGGTTGTTATGTGCCGTTGAGTCACTTGCAACTTATAGCAACCCTATGTACAACAGCCCTAAACCCTGTTCTATCCCTTGCCAATATCACTGTCTCCAACACACCTATCCCCATTACCCCAGTGATGGAATCAATCCTTCTCATCGAGGATCTTCCTCTCCTGCACTGTCCCTCCACGCTCCCAAGCACAGTGGCCCTCCCCAAGGACTAATCCCTCCTTGCAACATGTCCGAAATATGTCAGACAAAGCTTCAGACTCCTTGCCTCCAAGGAGCAGCCTGGCTTCACCCTCTCCAAGATGAACTTGTTTGTTTTCCTAGCAATCCATGGTATATTCAATACTCTTCTCCAGCACCAAAGCTCAAAGGCATCAATTCTCCTTCTGTCATCCTTAGTCATTATCCAGCTCTCTGAAGCATATCAAGTAATGCCAAAGACCATGGCCTGTATTAGGTGCACCCCAGTCTCCAGACTGACATCGTTGCTCTTCATTATTTTGGAGAGGTCTCTGACAGCAAACTTTCCCAATGCAATTAGTCTTTTAATTTCCTGGCTGCTGGTACCAAGAGTGTTGACTGTAGAGCCAAGCAAACTAAAGCTATCAACAATCTCAATCTCTTCACCATCTAGCATGATACTGCCAATTGGCCCTATGGTAAGAATCTTTCTTTTCTTGACATTGAGCTTCATTCCAAATTGAAGGCTGCAATCCTTGACCTTCTGCAGCAAGTACTTCAGGTCCTCCTGTGTTATAGCCTTTGAAAATGCTACAGACAGTCAGCTGTGAGTTGGTTCTGACTCAATGGCAGTCAAAGTTGAATATTTATAGTTTAGTTTGTATTTGTCACTCAGTCTATAAAACTGCATAGCAAAGGAATAGTCTTCACTGAATGGTTTAAGCAGTTAAGTAATGTCAGTAAATTCGTGATTTGTAGGAAATTGTGCTGATAACCCAAAAATTATGCCCTTTTGACAAATGGTATCCACCAGCAGCTCTGCCAGTAAAGCTCTTCTCATGCCATTTATGGCCTCAGGAACCCATTGGAAGATCAACTATGAGTTGGTTCCAACTGGTGAGCAGTGGTAGTAGTAGTAATGAATGGCAGTGTGCGTATATGTTGTTGTTATGTTGTTATGTACCGTCTAGTCTCTTGAGACTCATAGCGACCCTAGGTACAATATCCCTAAAAACCTGCTCTGTCCTGTGCCAATCACACCATCTCCAACACACCCACCCCGATGACAAGTAAGTTCTTACCATTATTTATTAATTTCTCATTATGGTTTCATTAAAATTTCTGAGAAACTTAATGTGGAGTCTTTCTATATTTTACTACAGAGAAATTTATTCTATATTAAAGCCATTATGCTTATAAGTCACAGCTGTGAATATCTAGGAACAATTCTAAACTCCTTTATCTTTTGCATTTCAGATTCCACTAATATACTTGCAGGTAAGCAGTATGAACCATTCTATCATTTAAATGAAATCAGTAATTTAAAAAAAAAAAGTCCATACAATGTCCCAGAAACTTCAAACTCTCACCATTCTTCCTTCCCAGCTCCCACTGGTACCCCTTTTGTCTTCTTTGTGAATAACATAGGAATTTTCAGTTTCTTTGGTGTTTTCTCTAATGGTTGTAGGCTGTATTATAAAATTATAATTCATTTATTCAAAGGACCCCAAAGGAAATCGTATTGCACAATGGCAAAACGTCAAGTTAGAGACTGGCCTCAAGCAGTTGTCCTTTCCTCTCTCTTCAGAGCCCTCCCAGGGCTCCTACAAAGTGGTGGCACAGATGAAATCAGGCAGAAGGATAGAGCATCCCTTCACTGTGGAGGAATTCGGTATGGATTATAGAAAGTCAAGCAACAAGTTCTCTTTATACTTCAACTTCTAGGGCCTAGAGTTTTTCCTCATTTTGGGTCATTTCAACTCCCATTGGTGAGAATGCGTTTAAAGGAGAACCAGTCATGTTTCATTCCAACATGAACTGTCTATGTTTTGTGAATCATATAGCTCATTTCTTTTTTGTAAAATTTTCTACTATTAAAAAAATTCTAAAATTAAATGTCCTTGATCTAGTAATGTCTTCTAGAATTCTTTTTTCTATTTTAATGAAAGTTTATAGAGAACTTGGATTTCCATTCATTCGTTGTTGCACATTTTCCACCCTACCCCATCTCCCAGTTCGCTTTTCTCTTTGAATAAAAAATTCTTTCATTGTTGCACAATTTCCTCCCCACCCTGCCCCCAGTCCACTTTGCTGTGCAGCTCTTATTCTGGACTGGTGTCTTACAAATAATACCTAGTCATATATTCCTAACAGCTCTTTCCCTCATCTGTTTCAAAGCAGTGTGCATTATTTAGCCCTTCTTTTCTTAGTTTTCCCCCAACGCCCATGTCAGTTCTGTTTTCCATAATTATTAAGGTTATTATAATCTTACCTAGTTCTTCAACGAGAATCTCCATTAAAGAATAAGTTGGTACACCGAAAAGTAAAGCTACCTTTTCAGATCCTTAAAATATGATTAGGGAATTGTTACCTGATAATGTTAATCCGATCAAGTTCAATATCAATCAACAAAGTCTTTTTTTCTTCATAAACAGTGCTTCCCAAGTTTGAAGTGCAAGTAACAGTGCCAAAGATAATCACTTTCTTGGAAGAAGAAGTGAATGTGTCCGTGTGTGGCCTGTAAGTTGATCAAGTTTTGTTAATCTTTTGGGAGAATTATTTCAAGAGATTCATCAACTGAAATATTTGGGTTGGTTTCTCTTGGAGCAGTGACAGCACATTCTCTTCCCATTTGATCCTGCCAACCTTGAAAACCCAGGTTTCCAGGATCTTATGGTCTTATCTCCAGCAGCCAAGCAGCAACATAAGCAGAAAAAACTGGCAACATGAAGAAGCCAGCCCAGCTTAAGTACCACATCTGTTGGGTACTTACCCACTAGTTGGGCTTCTGCCCTAATACTACCCCTGATCATCAAATGTATCAGCCCATGTTAAGCAAATACTCTTGCAAATAAAGATATTTAAAAACAAACAAAACAAAGCAAAAAAAAAAAAATAACAATAAATTCCACTGCTATGGAGTTGAGTCTGAGCTAGAGTAGTTGTGTAGAACAGAGTAGAACTGTTCCCATAGGATTTTCAAGGCTGTAAATCTTAACAGAAACACACTACTTACATCATTATCCAGCAGAGCCACTGATAGGTTCACAGCACTTATCTTTTGACTAGCAGCTGAGTGCTTTAACCCCTGAGTCACTCAATCTCCTAAACAAAGGTGGAGAAAAACTTTAAAATACTGAAGGAAACAAAAACTTCTGAAAGCACAATAATCACCAAGAACATTTGTGGCACAGTCTCATTAAAAAAAAAAAGAGTAAGCAAAAGAGAGCTCTGATGGCTTAGTGGCAAGAAGCTACACTACAATCCTGAAGGCACAGGGTTCAAATTTACCAGACACTCTGCTGGAGAAGGAGGAGCAAACTTCATATGCTAGTCAGATCTGGCTCAACGGCACAAATAAAAAAAATAAGCAAGTGAAACTATATAAAGGCCGATATGGCTACTCATAGGAAGAGGATGATGCAGGGAAAAGCATTCCCATATTAATAGTTTGTGTTCCTAGATAAAATTGGGGTATTAGTTTCCTCTCTCTGTCAGAATGAGTTACCTACTACTACTAAAATAAAATATTTTTAAAGATGAACAAAAAAGAAATTTAAAAAGACATGTAGTAAGTTTTAGCTGGTTGTCCTGAAAAGTTCTAAAAGAGTTTATTGCACCTTTAACATCATGGGTGCTCTCCACACTGCAGACTAGAGGTAGGTAATACAGAAGGTAATGGGAAACTATAAATGGGTAGGTAAATTAGAATGCTCAAAGTGTACTTTGAAAACGTTTTCACAACAGATACACCTATGGGAAGACTGTCCCTGGACATGCAACTGTGAGCATATGCAGAAAGTATAATGACCTTTCTAACTGCTATGGTGAAGAGTCGGAGGCACTCTGTGAGAAATTCAGTCAGCAGGTATGTGAAAAACTGTATGAGCCAGGGGCTAATGATACAGGAATTGTTGATAAGCAGTGAGTCGCATCGTAGAATTTGAGAAAGAATAATTTGGAAGAGATTTCTCCGGTGTCTATTATGAATTATTTATTTTTTTAAATCATTGACTCAACATAATAGAAATTACTTTTTTCTTATAATTGCCCAGTGTGATTGTTCTTAGTCAGCCATGCACCCAAAATGGTAGATGTTCAGCCACCTCCAGTGGTTGGCACTCAAAAGCTCCTTAGGTGACCACTTCTATATAGTAAAAATAAGAAACGTACAGCTTTTAAACCACAATGGCCTGGAGGATGTCAATTCTGTCTCTTTCTATTAGCAAGAACTTATTATTTGGACCCTTCTGGATGTTAAAATGCTGGAAAATAATCCTTGGATAGGCAGTACTCTACAGGTAGAGGTATACTAGGCAAGAAAAGGAGCCAAGTTTTAGTGAAGAGTTAGCTGATTGTTGCAGTAAGGATTTCTATCTAATTCACTCTAGAGAACTTTCAAGATTGAGGGATGAAAAGAAATAATTATTAGTGTCTAAATATATGTTTTCTGTTCCCTTCATAGAAGATTCCAAGAAAATGTCAAGGAATTCCAGGGCAGAAATGGTTAACAAGCTTGACTACCTACCAAAAGAGTGCTAGTTCACCTCCACTGAGGGATGCCTTGAAAGAAACTAGGCTTGGAAATCTAATCTGAAAAGATCACCCATTGAAAACATTATAGAGCACATAGTTCCATTCTGACACACAAGGGGTCACCATGAGTTGGAGTTAAATTGATGGCAGCTGCTTTTTTGTTCCTTCAATGCCTTTAAAAAAAACAAACCAACTAACGCATATGTATAATATGTGTTTTTGTCTGTGTTTGTTTTGTTTTGACTTCTCAGCTAAATAGCAATGGTTGTTTCTTGCAAAAAGTAAATACCAAGATCTTCCAGATGAAGAGGCAAGGGTATGAAATGGCACTTCAAGTAGAGGCCAAGATCCGAGAAGAAGGAACAGGTTTGTACAGCACATGCTGCTGTTGTTGTGTCCCATCAAGTTGGAACTGATTCATAGCTGACCTTCAGTGGGTTTTCAGAGGCTGTACACTATACAAAAGGAGCTTGCCGATCTTTCTCCTACAGAGCTGCTGGTGGACTCCAACTGTGGGCCTGTGGGTTGGTCGTGCAACTGCTTACCACTAAACCTCTAGAGCTCCATACTACCATGGACAAAAACAAGGAGTATTGTTTTATTACCTTCGCCAAAGTATTACTTGAAAAAGAGAAAGTAGCATAGAAGGCTCAGGGAGATCACCTTTCCCCAAAAACAACTCATTCTTTCTTCCCTTCCTTTTTTTCAGAGGTGGAATTAATTGGACGTGGGACCACTGAAATTACAAGAACTGTAACCAAACTGTCATTTGTAAAAGTGGATGCAAACTTTAGACAAGGGATCCCCTTTTTTGGACAGGTATTTTACAGTTGTGGATCAAACCATGTATTAATAAGTTCACCATTTTCTGCTAAAACCGTACTTGGTTAATGTTAGTTGTGGCTCCTTGGAGGCAAGGATTCTGAGGCTCCATCTAACTTACTTTGGACATGTTGTGAGGAGAGATCGGTCCTTAGAGAGGGACATCATGCTTGGGAGGGTGGAGGGACAGCGCAGGAGAGGAAAGCCCTCTATGAGGTGGATTGATTCAGTGACTGGGATAATCGGGATGGGAGTGTCAGAGACAGTGCGATTGGCACAGGACAGAGCGGAGTTTAGGGCTGTTGTACATAGGGTCGCTATGAGTCGCAGGCGACTCGACGGCACATAACAACAACAACAAGGTATAAAACTACAAAAAAAATGGGTTCTTTTCTGTGTAAATGTGCATATGAAATATGTAAAATTATTCTAAAATACTGTCAAAATGAGAAAGGTTAGTTTCATTTTTACTTTTTGAACAGAGTTCTATATCAGACTCCTCATGCTTCACCAGGCAAACTGAATTTTTATTATATTTTCTCATAAGAATAAGAAAATCTGTGGTTGCCATTTATATCTTCCTTCTAACACTAACTCTCTTAGTTATCTAGTACTGTTGTAACAAAAGTACCACCAGCGAGTAACTTTAACAAACAAAAATTTATTTTCTCACAGCTTATCCCTACTCTCACAGAGGGTATTGTTGTTGTTAGGTGCCATCAAGTCGTAGACAATTCATAGCCACCCTATGAATGAAAGACCTGAGCACTGTTTACAGAGTTTACAGAGGCAAGCCATTTCGGAAGTGGATGCCACTCCTGCGTCCAAGCTTATTTTAATTGGGAAGCTCCACCAAACACTGTCCACCATGGGTAACCATTATCACATTTGGTACATCAGTTTCACACTGTTTAACATCACAGCAACCACAAGTTACCTCTCTGAAGCAAGGCACATGTCAGTGCTATACCACCTAGAAGAATGTTTAACAAAAAACCAATTTGAACCAGGCCTGATTAGATTAAAATCACGCACGCACCGTGGGCTTGATAGCAAAACTTTCTGTCCACCAGGTCAACATAGCTCTCTCTATACTGTAGTTGTTATTGTTATTAGGTGCCATTTAGTCATAGACGGCTCATAGCGACCCTATGAATGAAAGACCTGAGCACTGTTTCTGGAGGCAAGCCATTTCGGAAGTGGATGCCACTCCTACTTCCAAGCTCCACCAAACCCTGTCCACCATGGGTAACCATTATCACATTTGACACAATAGTGTTTAGTATCATAGCTGCCATGAATTGTCTCTCTCAGAGGGTAATTACCTCTCTCACAGAGGGTAGAAATTTGAAATTAGAGAATCAGCTGTGCAAAAGTCACTCTATCTCTTACCACTCTAGAGGAAGGAAAGTCCTCATGTTTTTGCAGCCTCTATGATTCTTTGGTGATCTTTGTGAGATATGGCAACTATCTTCTCTAATCTCTGCTCTCACCTACTGTTTTTATATCTTAAAAAGTGATTATCTTAAGACGCATCCCACCCTGCACTCAGACCAGACATTATGTAAAGAAAATCATTACTGTCAAGTCAGACAGATGGAATAAATCACACAGGAAGAAATTTCCTATCTTTCTTCCTCAGAACATTTGGTGGATTTGAACCACCTACCTTTAGGTTGACAGTGCAACTCTTTATCCACTAAGTCATTAGAACTCTGTAACAAAGAAAATCCATTCCCAAATAGGATTGTAACCATACGACTAGTCATTGGGATTTAAAATACATTTTGGGAGCACACAATTCAATCCATAAGACTAATATTGTGTAAGAATAGTTAAGTAAACCAAACCAATCTGATGATCATGGAATCAACTTTAAATCATGAAGGACAGGTAATTTTAATTTTAAGCATTAAAAACTCTAGTTAGTGTTTCTTTCTAGGATATGTGTAGTATGTTCATTATTTTTATATAATAGCAAGTATTTTTTTTAAAAAAACAAACACAGAGATAAAATACTGCTATTTGAGTTCCTCAAATTTAATAATTACAGATATTCTCATGTGTGTACAAAACATCATCCAAATTTATTTTTTTACTGTAAGATATACAAATAGTTCTGATTTCAGTTTATTGAAATGGCAGTTTAACACACCTCAACATGTAACCACAATGTATCATATTTTTGAGGGAATATTACAATAATTCAACTGTAGAGAATACTAAAAATTGAGGGGCTAGGTTCAACAAGGGAATGTTAGAGCACATTTTACAGTGTTCTGATTGTGGTATGACAGCAAAAGTATTCATTCCCTGAAATTAAAGAACAATTCGTTTTTAATTTATCAGAGGCATACTGTGCTTTTAAAATATTTTACTTATGCTAAGTAACTATTCTTTTTTTGATGATCCTCCAGAAGGTCAGCAGAAAATAGGAAGACCCTTAATGAAATAGACTGAGACAGTGACTACAATTGGCATAAACACAGCAGATATTTTAAGGATAGTAAAGTTGGAGACAGTGAGACTGGCTCGGGATAGGGCGGGCTTCAGAGCTATTGTACATAGGGTTGCTATGGTCATAAGCGACTAAATGGCATATAGCAACAACAAAGGATTGGGCTGAGTTTTATTCTATTATACGAAGGGTTACGACAAATAGAAGCTGGGTTCACAGTACCTACCAAAAACAAACTACTCTATTAATCTTTTAAGACACTCTCCTACCTCAGTAAGAAGAATCAGGATGTTATGTCTGCCCTTGTCATTGTGCATGCAGGGTTGGTTGGCAAATTTGTCCTTTCTTAAGCAACAATAAACACTGAACCAAATCTACCTATGGTGAGTGCTTCCTTGTGTCAAAAGAATCTTTTCGCTTCACAAAAATTTGCCAATTCTTAAAATCTGAACCAAAAACTTCTAAGGTCAACCTTAGTGGTACTTTGGTTTTAAGACTTTCTTTGATATTGAAAGCTTGTTGTTGTTATGTGCTGCCGAGTGACCCTATATACAATACCTCTGCACCCTGCTCTGTCCTGAGCCAACCTTATTGTCCCTTACACACGTACCCCAATTAATCCAATCACTGAGTCACTCTATCTCATTCATGGTCTTCCTTTCTAACTCTTTCCCTCCACCCTCCCAAACATGATGTCTCTCTCCACGGACCAGCCCCACCTTGTAACATACCCAAAGAATGTCAGATGGAGCTTCAGAATCCTTGCCTGGTTTGGATGCCTTCGAGCTTTGGTGCTGGAGAAGAGTATTGAATGTACTATGGACTGCTAGGAAAACAAACAGATTCATCCTGCAAAGGGTTAAACCGAACGTCTCCTTGGAGGCAAGGATTCTGAGGCTCCATCTAACATACTTTGGACACGTTGTAAGGAGAGACAGGTCCTTGGAGAGGGACATTATGCTTGGTAGGGTAGAGGGACAGTGCAGGAGGGGAAGGCCCTCTATGAGGTGGATTGATTCAGTGACTGGGGTAATCAGGATGGGTGTATCGGAGATGGTGTGATTGGCACAGGACAGAGCAGAGTTTAGGGCTTTTGTACATAGGGTCACTATGAGTCGCAAGCGACTCGACGGCACATAACAACAACAGCAGGATGAACCTGTTTGTTCTCCTGGCAGTCCATGGTGTATTCAATACTCTTCTTCAGCACCACAGCTCAAAGGCATCAATTCTCTTTTTTGTCATCCCTAGTCATTGTCCAGCTTTCGGATGCATAGCAAGTAATTGTGAAGACCATGGCCTGGATCATGCGCACCTTAGTCTCCAGACTGACATCATTGAATGTCTCTCTTTAAATTACAGTTTTCACATGGGGAATGCCTCATAAATCCTGTTTTCCAAAAGATTTATAATCTAGGTTAAAAATCAGGTATCACATACAAAACAACTAGAGAAATCTATAAAGCCACATAGTCACTATTGCTTACTTAAACAGTTGATATGTTTCAGAACTAAGAAGTTAATTGTCCGCCACAAAATTACTGTGTTTGAGGCTTAGGTAAATATGCCTGATGAGTTTAAACTTTTTTGTTACTATAATACACAGCTTTTAAAAACACTTTGTCTGGTCACCTTTATCATCCTCATCACTAACTATCCTTTTTATTCTGCTTTATTTTTCTTCTTATAATTAATTAATAGGTGATAGAGAGATAGTAGGTAGCTAATTACTCTGTGTGTAAATATGTTTGTGTTTGTGTTTATGTTCATTGTATAATACTTGTTTAACATCTATGTCTTTCAGTAGGTTTTAAGCTCCATAGTGACAATAACTCTTTTTGCTTTGCAATACCCCCAGTGCCTAGAATTGTGCCTTATTCATAGGAATAAATGTTTGGTAAAATTAATATGACTGATCCCATTTAATATTATCCATACAATTAATACATGGCTTTTACTCTTCAGGTGCGTCTAGTGGATGGGAAAGGTGTTCCCATGCCAAATAAACTTGTCTTCATCCAAGCAAATGAAGCTAACCATAACTCCAATGCCACCACCGATGAGCAGGGCCTGGTGCAGTTTTCCATCAATACCACCAGTGTCATAGGGACTACCCTCTCTGTCAGAGTAAGTTTAGAAAGACTTTATCAATGGCATAAAACAACTTTGGAAAAAAGGTTACAACTTAAAAGTGATGACATTTCTGAATTATTTTTAGGTAAAATGAGAGAAAAACATCATATAAATTGAGAGACAGGCTAAGATCAATGGTTAACGAACTTAATGAGGCAAGATAGGTTAACAGTTAAAAAATGTAGTTTCCAAAATCAAATAAATTGGAGGAAATCCTGGCATTCTCTATGCTTTATTTAATTGTTCTTATTGTTGTTGTTGTTGATATTGAGTACTATAGAGTCAAAACCAACCCATAGCTGACCCTCCAGTGGATTTTCAGAGGCAGTTAATCTCATGGGTGGGTGCAATAACTAAAATATCACAGTATAACCTCATTTTTAATATCAGTAGCATTTAGCTTCAGAAAGAATGAAAACCAAATTACCAAACCCACTGCTATCAAGTGTGTTCTCACAGTGAGGCTGTAAATCCTTACAGGAGGTGGCTTCTCAACTTCCTTATTCAGGGCAGCAGGTGGATTCAAACTGCTGGCCCTTCATTAGCAGTACAATATATCACATCGCACAAGAGCTTCTTTTTAAAAAGAACTCCTACTCCATAAACTCTTGTTCCTACTTTCTTTTCCTCCTGATATTTTCATATTTTCCAGATGGCTATTTATTTCCATACACAACAATATTGATGTAGATACACACATATGGATAGATGAATTCACTTAATAGAAATTGCAATGATGATGATGATGATGAAAATGTCCTGCCTTTTAGGTTTCGTGTTCATATAAAGAAGGACTATAGAATGTATGCTTACTTATTCTGCTTTACATTAATGATAAAATTGAATGACGACTCATTTCTTAAATCAAGAAGCATGCCTTGAACATTTTCTGTGTGCTAAGCACTGTTCTTCTTGATGACCATGTATATAGTGTTATTGAAAGTGTATGAAGAGGAAAAGTGTGTTTTTCTAGCACAATTACTCATTCATGATACCTAAAGTAGGGTAGGGTTACAGATGAGGAAAACAAAAGTCTGAAAAGAGCTAAGAAACAACTTCACCTTGGAAATACCACCCGACTGTGACCCTTTGAGCTTAAAAACCCACAACCACAAGAAGCATTAAACATCTTCAGTCTTCTATGGTCCACAAGATGTAGGCTTTAACTCAGTCACCAAGTTAACTCTTCGAGCCAATGGTATTTACAGAAAGTTTCTCAGACCCCCTGGTGAATATTACATATATCCATAATAGACATCTGAGATAGTCCATAAAAAAAAGAGGAAATACTTTCTGAAGATCAATTCTTCTGTTTCTGAATATTATTTTTTCTCTCCAATGAGATTTCATAGTTTTAGTGCCTCCATCTATGTAGGTAAAGCAACCAAAGAAACTGAGCAAAATAATCAGAGTGAAAGATGCTTCATTTTATGCTCCTCAGAAATAAAACACCAACCCCAAGAGTGCTTGCAGGGTAAAAACACAAACCATGCTTTTATCTTTTTTTTTAAAAAAAAAGACAGATTTATGAGAAAGTTACATCCCCAAAAGGACAGACCTCCCTTCTGGACATGGGGAAGTTGCTGGTATCTTAAATTAATAAAAAATAAGGTGCTTGTCTTTCTCACTTTCTGGAGCAAAAGACTTCCAGCTACTATTATATTGCAGTGTTAAGTTTTGTAGTGATAACTTTGTTTATGATGTATGATCTGCAAATAATACTGCTTTTCTAATTTCTTAGGTCAGCTACAAGACTCATAGTCCCTGCTATGGCTATAATTGGCTGGTAGAAGAAAACATAGACGCTTTCCACACTGCTAATCATGTATTCTCCCTAAGCAAGAACTTTGTTCACCTTGAGCCCATAGCTTATCCTCTACCTTGTGGTGAAACTCAGAAAATCCAGGCACATTATATTTTGAATGGACAACTCTCAAAGGATTTGAAGGAGCTCATCTTCTATTACCTGGTGAGATGGAAGGACTCATATGTAGACAATAGATCTTTGTATGGTAAAGAAGTATGAAGCATTCTAGAGTGGTCATCATTAACTTGTTTATATTCCTCTTGAAAGATTTCTTAGAGCTAATGATTAACATGCAGGGCTCATCGTCAGCACACTGCATAGAGTGGAAAACTTGGGGTAAAGTCACTGTCCAGCAAAGTAAATGTTTTTGTATATCTTTTTATTTAGATCATGGCAAAAGGAGGCATTGTCCGAACTGGAACTCATGCATTACCTATAGAGGATGGAGACAGTGAGTGTTCCCGTGATCTCCATATTACTGTCTACCCAAACACAGTCTTATACTGCAGAAATAGCAGGAATATTTTTAAATAAAGAGATAGAATTTCTATTTAACCTCAATTAAGAAGACGTTGATAAGAGAGGGAGAAAGGAGTAGTGAAATTTCTTTTTCCACCTATTTGCAAATATTTCTTTCTGTTCAGGTTATTTAAATATGTTTAATTTTTTCCCTTAAAATCTATACCTCTTACACATTTTTAAACTATAAATAATTTTAGTCATGGAGAGTCTTCATTTTTTTAACAAAATCAAAGTTATTTAAGAATTGTTTCTAAAAGAATGAAAGGGAAGAGGGAGTAAAATTTAATAGATAAATTAGGTGAAGAGCAAATTAACCACATTAATCAACAATAATTAATGTGTAATTTGTAAACCTTGACTCGAATTTAAAAATTAAATAAACAAAAAATCTTTTTACGAAATAAGTTGGATGAAAGGATAAGCAGTTAGTAAGTGATAATGTTATAAAATAAAATGCATGAATGAAAAAAGAAAATGAAAGGAAGAAAGACAAAAATTAAAAGATACCTCCTTTGTACTATGCTTTGTGTTGGGTCATTCATATTTTTATATCTTATTTTTCTTTTGATGATAGCTATGATTTATGAAGAGTTAAATTGGGTGTTTTCACAATTTAATTGGATGCTATCTGTGAATATGAAACCATGTACACTAGTTTCACCTAGTCAGATATAGTTTAAAAAGTAATTTACTAGAACACTAGCAGTAAACAACATTTTTATTTCTGCTTCACCACACAAAAGTGCCATAGTAGTCTCATGATCCCTTAATGCAACCTCTTAAAAAATTTTGTAGACATCAAAAATTAACTCAAAGGTTATATGAGAAGTTCAGAGGTCAGTGAGGCCAAGACAATGGTGATGGCACAATTCAGAGAAGGATGGTAAAAATGTGGGCACAATTTGAAGGATGTGCTTGATCATTGTCACTCACTTGCACATGTAGCAAAATTGTTGAAATAGTGTGTTTATGTGTGTATTTACCAAAGTAAAAATAAATAACTAAATAACTCCTAAAAAATAATCATTTTAGGAAGAATAGAACTTTTATGTCAAAGAAAGTAAGAGCGAATAGAAGCATAAATAAAAACATACCTTTAAACTTAAGATTGGATTCCACAACTTCAATTTCTATGTTTCCTCTCTAATAGCAGTATGATGTAAACAGTAGTTAAGTGGATGTTACATACCCTCAGATAGCACAAGCTAAAGCATAAAATGGATGAGAAATCAGGATACAATTAATGAGAATTTAAGGCAACAAGAAAAAATTCCATTGGACTTAATTAACTATTACTTAATACCAAATTAACATATGCCTGGAGATCCTAACTAACCTGATTAAAAAAACAGAGAAATTTAACCTAAGATTGAAAATGTTTTATTTACTTATTTCAGACATGAAAGAAGGGAACAACTTATAATTTGAATAAAACAATTTATTCAATTTAAAATAGAAGATGATATTTCCAGCCTCAATTATATTTTTTTTAAAAATATATTTAGTGGAAAAAAAGAGAGTAGTTTGATAAAATTTCATTTAGAATTTTTAGAGGTAGTAATCCAATTACTACTTTTTTTTTAGCAAGCTCTAGTGGCCTAGTTGTTGTTGGTCAGAACTGACCCATAGCAGATTCTCCATCAACTTTTCAGGGGCAGTAAATTGCACAGCAGGAAATTGCCCATCCTTCTCTCACAGAGCAGCTGGCAGATTCAAACCACATGCCTTTGAGGCTGCAGCACAGTGTCTTACCACTAGGTCACCAAAGTTCTCCGGGGAAGAGATCACGTTTGTTCCCAATCTCAAGAAAGGTGCTCTAACAGAATGTGGAAATTACCAAACAATATCGTTAATATCACATGCAAACAAGATCCTACTGAAAATCATAAAAAAATAACAAGAAGAGTACACAGACAAAACTGCAAGACATTCAAGCTGGATTTAGAAGAGGCCATGGAGCCAGGGGTATTTTTGCTAATGTCAGATGGGTCGTACCCGAATGCAAAGAATACCAGAAGAATATCTATTTGTGCTTTATTGACTATACAAAAACATTTTACTATGTTGATCATAATAAATTATGACTAACATTGAGAAGAATGGGAATCCCAGAACACTTAATTGTGCTCATGAAAAAGCTATATCTAGACCAAGAGGCTGCTGTGTGAACAGAGCAAAGGTACACTACATAGTATTAAATTAAGAAAAGGGAGTGTTAAGGTTGTATCCTTTCCCCTTACTTATTTCATCTGTATGCTGAGAAATTGGACTCTAAGAAGAAGAATGTGGCATCAGGATTGGAGGAAGACTCATCAATAACCTTTGTTATGCAGATGACACAACCTTGCTTGAGGAAAGTGAGGAGGCCTGGAAGGGCTTGCTGCAGAAGATCAAACACAGCAGCAACTCATGCATATGGATTGCGTCTCAATGTGAAGAAAACAAAAATCTTCACCACTGGATCAACAGGCAAATCAGGAAAGATGAAAAAAAGATTAAAACTGTCAATAACTTCATCCTACTTAGATTCACATTCAGTACACTTGTCAACAGCAGTCAGGAGATCAGGAGATGTATTGCACTGAGAAAGTCTGTAGTCTGGGACCTCTCCAAATTATTGTAGAGCCATGATGCCAGTTTGAGGATTAAAGTGTGCCTAATTCATGCCATGGTCTAAAAAGACCTAATTATACATCTGAGAGCTGGACAATGATTAAGGATGACAGAAGAACAATTGATGCCATTGAACTGTGGTATTGGAAAAGGGTACTGAATATTTCATGCTGCCAGAGTGCTCCTTGAAGGCAAAGATGATAAATCTTTTCTCATATATTTTGGCATGTTGCTAAGAAAGGATATTCCTTGGAGAGAGTCATCATACTTAGAAAAGTGTGAGGAGAGTGAAGGAGAGGAAGGCTCACAACAAGATGTATTGACACAGTGACAGCAGCAATGAGCTCAAATGTGTCAGAGACTGTGAGGATGACACAGGATAGGACAGTGTTCAAATCTATTGTTCATAGGGTAGTTATGACTCATATAACACCTAACAATAACAACAACAGTGGTCCAGCATGTAAGGAGTTGCACTGACAACCCAAAAATGAGAGGTTTGAATCTGCCAGTTACTTTTCAGGAGAAAAATGGATACTTTCTGTGCAATTTACCACTTCTGAAAATCCACAAGAGTCCACTGAGTCATTTCTTACCTAATGGCAATAGTATGATAATTTTAGTATTATTGATTTTAAGTACTCTTGCATCTGTTAACAGTAATTGTCACCATTCAGACCCAATTTTCAAAATGTCTTTATGCAATAGAGTCATTTCATTGAAGCTCTAGGGAGATTTCCAATCCATGATCACATCTTCTCATCCTCTCTGTCCTCCAGTAAAAGGCCATTTTCCTGTGTCAGTCCCTGTGGAGTCAGACATTGCTCCCATCGCGCGATTGCTCATCTATGCCATTTTACCTGATGGAGAAATGATTGGTGATTCTGTAACATATGAGGTTGAAAATTGTCTGGTCAATAAGGTAGGGGATTTACATCATAAACTTTTCACTACTTAAAACTAAAAATTACTATCAATATCAATTATTATACACATGAAAGCACTGAGATCAAAAGAATTAAATTAGTTCCCCAAAGGAATCCATATAACCTTAGTGCAAGATTTTCATGTATTTGTTGTTGTTGTATCATTGTTGAGTACCATCAAGTCAGAACCAACCCATAGCTGACCCTCCAGTGGATTTTCAGAGATAGTTAATTGCATAGAAGAAGTCTGTCTATCTTTTTTCTGTGGAGCAGCTAGTGGATTTGAACTGCATGCCTTTTGGATTGCAGTGCAGCTTCTTACCTCTAGGCCACCAGAGCTCCATTTTTATGTATAATTGTATTTTATCATATGATCCAACTCAGAATGATTTGTTTCCTCCTTCTATAATGAAATGTTGGAAAATACATAAGCAGGTTTTTAAGACTACTAACAAATCAAAAGAAAAAAATACAGATACATTCAGAAACCTTTCATATGCTACTAAGCATCTCAAATTAATACTTTTTAAGAATAACTATAATGATGGTTGAGAAAATGAACTTGCATTCTGCTTACTCTTTAAATCTAGATAGAAGAAAGGGGGCAAACATCTGAAAACTATTGTGGTGCCAACCACAATGAAGTCAAAGAAAGCCATTATGCATTAAATGTGAGGAACTCTCAGAGGGTTTTAAAAGAGGTGAATACCAAGTTTAAAAAGGAAATGTGTTTTTCTCCTCTTTACACCTAATTCCACAGGTGGATTTGAGCTTCAACCCAGCACAAAGTCTTCCAGCCACACCCACCCACCTGAAAGTCTCAGCTACTCCACAGTCCCTCTGTGCTCTCCGCGCAGTAGACCAAAGTGTACTGCTCCTGAAGCCCGAGGCTGAGCTCTCCACATCCTCGGTGAGTTCTTAGCCTTAGGTATCAGAAAGGACTAGTCTCAGAGCTGGATGGACTACTTATCACCAGATAAAAATACAAACAAACCAGTAGTCATCAAGTCAGTTCTAATTCCATCTGCTTAAAAATAGAACTGTAGACCATATAGTTTTCAAAGTTGTTACCTATCAGAGCAGACTACTGGGTCTTTCTTCTGAGCTACCTCTGAATGGCTTCAAATTACCAACAAGTTTCACCGTCAGGTACTTCATCTGAGAAGGGGGGGGGGAAGACCAAACTATTGCCATCCAGTCTATTCTGCTTCATGCCACTTTCTTAGTGGTAATCTTTATAGAAGCCGATTACCAAACTTTTCTTCCATGGCACCACTGGTCAGGATTTAACCACCAAACATTATTGTTTGTTGTTCTCATGTGTCATTGAGTTGATAGATGAGTGTCTTACATTACCTAAGTATCTCCTGGGTAGGATAAGATTTAATAAGATTACATTTAACTAGAAGTTGATAGTTTTTAACTTTCTTGGTACTTTTCCATTGTTGTTGTTGTTATTGTGTGCGATTGAGTACCTTGCATCTCATAGCAACCCTGTGTACACAATTCTAAGCCCTGCTCTATCTTGAGTCATTGCCTCCACTGAGTCAATCCATCTCATCCAGAATCTTCCTCTCTTTTTCTGTCCCTCCACCCTTCTGAGCATGATGTCCTCCTTCCCCAAGGACTGGTCCCTCCTTGCTACTTGCCCAAAGTATATGCGTTAGAGCTTTAAAATCCATACCTGCAAGGAGCAGCCTGGTTTCACCTTCTCCAGGATAGACTTTTTTTAGCAGTTCATTATGTGTTAAATACTATTCTCCAGCACCACAGCTTAAAAACATCAGTTCTTCCATCATTCTTAGTCATTGTCTAGTTCTCTGATGCATAGTAAGTAATTACAAAGACTATGGCTTAGATTAGGCATACCTTCATCTCCAGACTGACATCGTTCCTCTTCAGTACTCTGGAGAGGTTCTAGACAGCAGATTTTCCCAATGCAATTCATCTTTTGAGTTCCTGACTGCTGGTAACAAGAGTATAGATTGTGGAGCCAAGCAAGCTCTTGCTATTAATAATCTCAATCTCATCTCCATCTACCATGGTGCTGCCAATTAGCCCAGTGGTGAGGATCTTTGTCTTCTTGATGTTGAGCTTCAATCCATACTGAAGGCTGCACTCCTTGACCTTCTGCAATACATGCCTCAGGTCCTCCTCAGTTTCAGCAAGCAAGGTTGTATAGTCTACATAACACAAATTGTTGGTGAGTCTTCCTCCAATACTGATGCCACATTCCTCTTCATAAAGTCCAGTCTCCCAGATGATCTGTTCTGCATATAGAATGAAAAAATATGGAGCTGGGATGTGTCCCTGGTATACAGCTTGCCTGATTTTGAACCATGCAGTGTTTCCTTCTTTTACTCTGACAATTTCCTCCTGGTCCAAATATAGGTTTTGTATAAGATCAAGTGCTTTTTCTGTGAGATATGTATAGTATATGCCTTATATACTAGATATAATGTGTAGTTTTGGAAATTCATTGCCATTAAGGCAGCTCGGAGTCCTAGTGCATCTTATAGAACAGAGTAGAACTGCCCCACAGGTTTTTCAAACTATAAATCTTTACAGAAGCAGATCATATCATTCTACTATGGAATAACTTTTCAAGAAAAGTTAGACTTGAATTGACCTTCTACAGCAAGCTCCTCAGGTCCTGCTCAGTTTCAACAAGCAATATTTTGTCATCCACATAGCACAGGTTGTTGATGAGTTTTCCTCCAATCCTTATGCCACATTCCTCCTCATAAAGTCCAACCTCCTGAATTATGTGTTCCACATATAAATTTAAAAGGTATGGAGAAAGGACACATCCCTGATTCACTGCTTTATTAATTTTGAACATGCAGTGTTTCCTTGCTCTGTTCTGATGACTGCTTCCTTGGCTAAATATAAGTTCTACATGAGCAAAGTTCAGTGTTCTGGAATTTCAATTCTTCTTAATGTTAGTTGTGGCCACAATCTGTTGTGATCCACATGGTCAAATGCCTTTACATAGTCAATAAAACACATTCTTCTGATACACTTCACTTTCAGCCAAGATCCATCTGCCATTGACAATGATGTCTCTATTGCCATGGTTTCTTCTAAACCCAACTTGTACTTATCTTAAGTGTTCTGTCAATGTTCTAGTCATTTTTGGATAATCTTCAGCAGGATTTTGCTTGCATGTGATATTATTGATATCGTTTAATAATTTCCAGACTCTGTTTGATATCTTTTTTGAGAATGGGAATAAATGTCACCCTCTTCAGTTAGCTGGCCAGGTAGCTGTCCTCTAGATTTCTTGGCACTACCTGGTGAGCACATCCAGGGCAGCATCTGTTTGCTGGAATATGTCAGTTGATACTCCATCAATTCCTAGGGCCTTATTTTTTTGCCATTTCCTTCAAAGCCGCTTGAACTTCCTTCTTCATCACCATTGCCTCTTGATTGTATGCTGCTTCATGGAATTCTTCTGTGTCATCCAGTTTCTTTTGGAGGGGGGTCCAGTGACTCTGTGTACTTCTTTCATCTTCTTTTGATGCTTTTGGGGGTATATTCCAGGTTGTGGAGTAGCTGGGTCACATGGAATTTCTATGTTCAGCTTCTTGAGAACAGGCCATATACTGCCTTCCAGAGTGGTTGTAGCATTTTACAATACTACAACAGTATGTAAGAGTTCCTATCTCTCCACATCCTCTCCTACATTTATTATTATTATTTGCTGTCCTATTAAACTTTGCCACTGCTCCTAGAGTGAAATGGTATCTCATTATGGTTTTGATTTTCATCTCTTTTATTGCCAGTGATTTTGAGCATTTGTTTTTTCAATCCATTTGTTTATTATAAACATTTCAGGTTTTTAAAAATTTTATACTAGATTATTTACAAAATTCAAATATTTTGTTTTAGAGAACAAATTCTTTTAATTTCCCTCACCCCCTTCACCCATCAAATTGTACAGCCCCATGATTAATCCTTCTCTCCCCCTGCACATCCTCATCCCTCTGCCTCCACCCTCTCCCACCCTTTTTGGATCCTTATACTCATTCTACAATAATGGTTTTATACAGTTTTTATCCTTTATGCACTCAACGTAATGCTCTCCACTCCCTCCCAAGTTAGGCAATAATTTACAAAATCATTGCTCCTGCATGCTGCATAGTATTCCATTGTGTGAATGTCCCATAATTTCTCAAATCATTTTGTGATTGGACATTTGGGCTGTTTCCATGTTCTTGCAATGGTGAATAATGCTGCTTTGAACATTGGTGTACAAATCTCTATTTGTGCCTCAGTTCTTGTTTTCTCAGGGTATATTCCATGTAGTGGAATGGCTGGGTTTCTTCATGTGTCTGTTACATCAGAATATCTTCTTATGTTAAAGGTCTTTCCATCTGTTTTGTCCATTTTGTAATTGGGTTAAGTCTTTTTCTTATGGAGGCCCTGTAGGATTCTATAAACTTTTCTTCTGAGACCATTGTTCGAAATGGTATTGCCAAATGTTTGTTCCCGGTCTACTGAATTTTCTTTTCACTCTGTTGGAGAAAGTGTTTTAAGTGCACAGGGATTTAATCTTTAGAAAGTTCCTTTCATCAATTTTATCCTCTCCTGGTGTATTTCTGGATATATTTGTCAGCCTTTTTATACCATGATCTAGGCCTTCTAAGTTTGCTTCTACTTTGTCTCTTATGATCTCTATGGTTTTGGGCTTTACCCTTAGATCTCTAATCCACGCTGAGTTTATTTTATAGTATGGTGAGAGGTATGTAAACTGTTTCAGCTTTCTCTATGTAGTAGTCCAGTTTTGCCAGTGCCATTTTTTAAAGAGGTTTTGTTTCTCCTTTTGATAGGTTTGGTTTCCTTGTTGAATATCAGTTTCCATAGATGTTGTTTTGTTGTTGCTGCTGTTGTTCTTATGTGCCATCGAGTCGCTTGCGACTCATAGCGACCCTATGTACAACAGCCCTAAACTCTGCTCTGTCCTGTGCCAATCACACTGTCTCTGACACTCCCATCCCGATTATCCCAGTCACTGAATCAATCCACCTCATAGAGGGCCTTCCCCTTCTGCACTGTCCCTCCACCCTCCCAAGCATGATGTCCTCCAAGGACCGGTCTCTCCTCACAACATGTCCAAAGTATGTTAGACGGAGCCTCAGAATCCTTGCCTCCAAGAACCCACCCAGTTTAGCCCTTTCCAGGACGAATCTGTTTGTTTTCCTAGCAGTCCATGGGATTCTCAATCCTCTTCTCCAGCACCACAGATGGATAGATTAATTTCTGGGTTCTCAATTCAATTCTATTGATCTATGTGCCTGTGATTGTACCAATACCATGCTGTTTTGTTTACTACAGATGTATAATAGGTTTTGAGATTAGGAAGTGCTATGCCTCCACTTCATTTTTGGTTTTCAGAAATGTTTTGCTTATTTGGAATCTCTTACTTCTCCAAATAAACTTGCCAATTACCTTTTCTCTCTCTTCGAAAAATGAACTTGGTATCTGTATAGGGATTGCATTAAAGCTGTAGATTGCTTTTGATAAGATTGTCATTTTACTACATTGAATAGTCCTATACAAGAACAGGGAACATTTTCCCATTTTTTTAATTGTGCCTTTTGTTGTGTCTCACAGAAATGTTTTGTAGTTTTCTTTGTAAATGCCTTTTTTGTCTCTAGCTAGGTTTATTCCGAAGTATCTCAATTTGTGGTTGGCTGTTGTAAACGATAATTGCTTTCATAGTTCCCCACTCTTGAGTTCTCCTTGTTACTGTGGAGTAACCCTAGTGACTTTTGTATGTTGGTCTTATAGCCTGCCACTCTACTAAACTGATCTACTAGCTCGAACAGGTGTTTTTTTCTAATCCTTAGGGTTTTCTGTACATTCTCAATTCATCTGCATATAATGACAATTTCACCATCTCTTTTTCAATCTTTTTATTTATTTATATCTTTTTTCTTTTTCTCTTTTAATTATTCCAATTTTTTATTTCCTTGTCTTAAAAATAAACAAAAGATTGATGGTGATTATTCATTGTTGTTTATGTTATTGGTATGTGCTGTTGAGTCACTTGCAACTCATAGCGACCCTATGTGTAACAGCCCTAAACCCTGCTCTATCCTTGCTAGTCGAACTGCCTCTGACACACTCATCCCAACTATCCCAGTTACTGAATCCATCCACCTCATAGAGGGTCTTCCCGTCTTGTGCTGTCCCTCCAAACTCCCAAGCATGATGTCCCTTCTCCAAGGACCTGTCCTTCCTTACAACATGTCCAAAGTATGACAGACGATGCCCCAGAATCCTTGCCTCCAAGGAGCAGCCTGGTTTAACCCTCTCCAGAATGAATGTTTGTTTGCCTGGCAGTCCATGGTACATTCAATACTCTTCTTCAGCATCACAGCTCAAAGGCTTCAGTTCTCCTTCTAGCCTCCCTAGACATTGTCCAACTCTCTGATGCATAACAAGTGATTGCAAAGACCATGGCCTATATCAGATGCACCTTAGTCTCCAGAGTGACACTGTTGCTCTTCAGTACTTTGGAGCGGTCCCTAACAGTAGGCTTTCCCATTGCAATATGTCTTTTAATTTCCTGGCTACTGGTGCCAAGAGTGTTGATGTGGAGCCAAGCAGACTAAAGGTGTGAACAATCTCAATCTCTTCATCATCCATCCTGGTACTGCCAATTTGTCCAGTGGTGAGGATGTTTGTCTTCTTGACATTGAGCCTCAGTCCATACTGAAGGCTGCAGTCCTTGACCCTCTGCAGTAAGCACTTCAGGTCCTCCTCAGTTTCAGCAAGCAGGGTTGTCATCTGCATAATGCAGATTATTAATAGATCTTCCTCCAGTCCTGACGCCACACTTCTCCTCATAGAGCCCAGCCTCTCAGATAATCTGTTCTGCATACAGGTTGAAAAGGTATGGAGATAGGGCACATCCCTGGCGTACACCTTTCCCAATTTTGAACCTTGCAGTGTTTCCCTGCTCTGTTCTGAAGACTGCCTCTTGGTCCAAGTATAGGTTTCTCATTAGCACGATCAAGTGTTCTGGGATTCCCATTCTTCTCATAGGAGGCTTTTTTCTCTTATACTGAAATTAATTTCAGATAAATTTTCCCTTTTGTCCTTTAACTCTTAACAGATTTATAACCTGCTACCACTGAAAGACCTCACTGGCTTTCCTCAAGGTTTGAATAATGAGGAAGATGATGAAGATTGTGTCAATCACCCAAATGTCTATATTAATGGAATCATGTATTCCCCAGTAGCAAACACAAATGAAAAAGATATGCATAGCTTCCTAAAGGTAAATTCCTATATTACTATATTTCCTATGTTAACTCTTAATTTAGTAAATATTATGAATGGAAGATATTTATTACTTTATTCCTTTCATGGCATAATTGAGAGCAATGGAACAAACAGAAGTTAAGCGATTCCTCCAAGGTTGTTAATATTAGCACGTCTATAATAATGACAGAGCCCAAGCTGGAACTCTTTAGACTTTGTTGTTGTTGTGTATGGTCAAATCGGGTCTGACTGTCGAAAGAGGAGATTGCTCCTCCTTCTCCAGCATAGCATCTGGTGGATTCAAACAGCATGTCTTTGAGATTGCAGAGCAGCTTTTTGCCACTAGGCTACCAGAGCTCCCTTGTTTAAAATATTTTTTTAATTTTTATTATTATTAATTTTAATGAAACTTTACAGAGACTTTGGGTTTCCATTCATTCATTGTTGCACTTTTCTCCATGCCCACCCCTCCCCGCCCCAGTACACTCTTCTCTTTGAAAAGTAAAAGAAAAATTCTTTCATTGTTTAACAATCCCTCCCCCCAGGTCTACTGCACTGTGTAGCCTTCATTCTGAACTCCTGTCCTGACAATAATACCTAATCACATATCTCTTTTAAACAGTTTTCTCCCTCATCCATTTCAATGCAGTAAACAGTATTTATCCCATCTTTCTCAGTCTCCACCCAACCCGGATATCAGTCCTGTTTACAACAGTGGCACTATGCAATATTTGTCCTTTTGTGACTGAGATATTTCACTCAGCATAGTATCCTCCAAGGTCACCCATTTTGAATAATATTGCATGAGTTCCTTGTTTTTCAATGCATCATAGTATTCCATTGTGTGAATATACCAGAGCTTCTCTTTCCATTCGTTTGTTGATGGGCACTTAGGTTGTTTCCAGTTCCTTGCTATTGTGAGCAAACCGTGATAAACATGACTGTGCATTGTTTAGACTATTTTTTACTAAAATTTCCTTGTGACATTCAAACAATTACATGAAAAGAAACAACAGAAGAAATTACCTTCATAAATATGCTAATATCCCTTCTATAGATATGAACATTAACAGTTTATTATAAAATTTAATCAGTTATGTTTGTTAAATTCAAGGAAAATAAGTATGTGCTTACATATGTTTTCTAATAACTATATTTCTTTTACAGGACATGGGCTTAAGGGTATTCACCAACTCAAAGATTCGTAAGTTCAAAATATGCTCACAGCCTAGAGTCTATGCAATGCGTGCACCCCAAGGACTAATGAGTGGGGCAGGTAAATAATAATGATAATTAATTGTCTGATATTAAACCAAGTAAGTTAATTTTTTAAGAACAACAAAAAAGTGACAAGATGAACAAAGAAATATTTATGATTCAAATGTTAAAGTTCCCTGATTAAGTCCATAGCAATATAAACCAATGATATCTGTGTCATATATACTCACATAAACTAAACTAGGAGAATTATAAATCAGGCTATAAAATAAGCTGTAAGAAAGCTGCAGATATGCACCAAGTTTTTAAATGATTGAAAAATGGTTGAAATCCTGAGAGTTGATATAACTGAGGGCTAAGGTATTCACGTTCTACAGCAGGTGTGTGATCTGACAGAGAAGTCTGAATTGGAGAGAATTGTTGGGAAGTACAAGGGTGAAAATGTTATGGCTTGTAGTAGAAGAGTGCACCACGGTTTGGAATTTTTTACTGTTTTGTCCTAATCTACTACCAGAACCTGAGACCTATTCTCAAAGTTGTTTGCTTAAAGAGAAAAAGCTGACAAATCTATAACAATGTCTTAGAGACCTCCAGCATTCTTCTAAGTCTTTTAAAGTTTCATAAATAAATGAATGAATGAATGAATGAATGTATGTGTTCATGAATGAATGAATGACTAAATAAATAAATAAATAAAACATAATAGAGTAATATGAAGCAACCTTACAAAACAAAGGAAAATCTCCTATGTATCATAATTCTTTTTATGAGATAATATCTGTTGTGATACTTTTTTTTACTTACCTTTTACTGAGTATTTAAACCATCCGCTTTAGATCTAGAACTGTATTTAAGTTACTAATTAGCTTGAAAACAAGGTCATAAAATAATGCATTGAATTGGATTAGAAACTTTATAATGCTCTATAGCGATAGAATAGAGCATAAGATTCATTTTGATTGTGGACTCAGAGAAGTCATTTATAAAAATATTATATTTGATAACTGGAAATGTGAGATAGAAATGAGGAGGGGAAAAACATTTCCAGGCACAAGGTTGGGGGGCAAAGAGGTAGACATGTTGGCAAGTCATCCTTGCCAGTCAAGGAAAGATGCTCTTAAACTCCCCTACCTACACTTTTGCTCCCATCAAGTTACATTATGAGTTCATCAGCATTTGTTCCATAACTTAACAGCATAGTGAAAATGATCTTTGTCAAGACCTAAGACTAGAATCTATTGAGGAATAACAGTGCCAAGTCCAGTAGAGAGTAAGAGAGAAGTTTTTAGTAGTCAGTAACTGAAATGCCCAAAACAGCAGAGTTGAAGAAGTAGCTTCAGTTATGAGAAATATAATCAATAAAGAGCATAGTTAAGCTATTTTTTGGCCCATTAGTATTAGTAATAGGCAAATAGGTAATGAAGGTAATATGGACCATCTATCTTTATCCCAATATCAAATCAGTGCTATTTTGTAGACCATTGAAATAGAAATTTCATTGAAATAGAACTTACTTGTGTAATTTGAGGAAGCAACCATAGGTAGATAGATAGAAAGATATGCAATATTTAATAAATTGGAGTGAAAATCACCCATCACCCTATCAAGATTATTAAAGTACACTATCATGAGAGAACATCTTAATGATACAAGAAATAAGGTAGCCATGGCTACAATCTGTAAATGGTGAAAGGACTAGGCCTCATAGTCAAGATAATATTGACAACAGAGGAAGGGAAGGGAGAAATGTTATCACCAAATAAGGAAAATTAGTTGATTGCAGAAGAATCATAAGACAGAGCAAGGCCAAAATGTGTTACAATATGATTAAAAATATGTTTGAAAGTGCTATAGTATGACTGGCAAGATGATAGTGATCGGTATTGAATAAATCCCCAATGATGATTTGAAAGGGATGAGTCTGAATTATGAAAGATAACAAATAGCATGTGGAAACTGAAGGTCAAGACTCACTTCTCAAACTAAATAAGATGAAATAAAACTAGTCTAAAGAAGTAGAGAGAAATAATTATGAAAATGTAGTCCCCTAGCAAATATTTTACAAGGTACTTTTTAATAAACAAGGCAATAGTGTGCTGGTGTTGGCTTTTAAGAGTTAATTAAGTTTTCAATAATTTTATAAGCCAATTATTTAAACATAGAGATCACATAGAAATAAATTGCATCAAATTGTAAGTAATTTAGTTATACTCAAAACAAAAGGACTAATTGCCCAAAACTCTTTAATTCCTAATTAGAACATTTATATATTATCTGAGGTTATGCATGACTGAGGTTATCTGTATGATGAAAATGCTACATATTGATGGCTACTGTGCATTCACTCTCCACTCTGCAACCAATAACATCACGTTGTTGTATACTATCAAGTTGACGCTGACCTTCTGGCAGGTGAACTTGAACTGCATACTTTCAGGATTGTAGCACATCCTCTTGCCACTAGGCCACTAGAGCACCCTACCAGTAGTTTGATATAAGCTACAATAGCAATGATACCAACACAATGAAATCAGCCAATGCTGCAAATCAGGCCTTGATCTATTGTTAATTTCTTGATATCTGAAAATGTTACCTTTAATTTACTTAATCATAGGTGGAATTTATAATAAAAATTATATATTTTACTTTATTTCTAACTTATGTCCTACAAATTCTCTCCATCAGTAAGATTTATAGCAAACCTATATGTATATGTATATTTAACATTTACATTAAATGTAGAGAAATTGTGTTTATAGCCATTACATTGTGAATATTATACACACTAAATAAAAAAGTCTTCCCAGTATTCAAAACAAATTCAGCACTTTTGTCACTCATGTCATTGAACAATAAAGATTTGATATACATTTTCATTATTTCACTTTACTCAATGTAAATTGTTTAAAACACATAAGTTTGAATTGTACTTGTCAATTTGGCTAATGTTTTGTTATTTGTATACTTAAACACAACAAAAATTCAGGCAATATTTATGTTAGAAATGCATTCATTGCCAATAATATAAGCTACTTCTCTGATGAATTAGATAGTAGTCAAATACTTATTTGTCATCATCAGATCACTAAATTACAACAATGAGTTGGCTACAAATTAAAGAATTAGTCAAAAATTAAGGAAAGCATTCAGTGGGAATTAACAAATCAGCTATATGAAATTTACTATAAAATTATTATCTATTCTTATTTCTTTGTTACATGCTTCAAATCCTCTATCAGTAAGATTTATAGCAAACCTGTATATGTAAATCTTCACAAATTCTTTTCTAGAAAATAATTGTAACAATTTACTGATAACAAAAGGTAAAAAGAGCTAAAGATTCTAACTGTGCCTCTAAATTAACACAGAATCCAAAGCTCCTGTTTTGTGTCTATGCCACAGTTTTTTCTAGCTCCAACAAAAGACTCCACCAAACTGAAAGCGGACTCCTGCCAATCTTTCTGGACTGTCATGGCTCTTTCCACTTAGAACAGTGTGCTCATAGCACCTATCTGTTCCTTTCTGTTCCACATACAACCCAAAAAAACTCTCCTGTGTCCGGATCTGTACATTCCCCCCCACCCAGGAAATCATCACTCCCTAGCTCACCCCTAGATTAGTCTAAGACTTCAGCCTAAAATAATCTTCTCAAAGTTTTCCCTCATCACCCTGTCTAAGCATCCTTGGTTGTTAATGTTAGGTGCTGGTGAGTAGATTTCAACTCATAGCAACCCCACCTATGAATAACAGGTCTGAAACCTGTCCTATTCTGTGTAATCCTCATCATCTCTGACACATTTGAACCTATTGCTGCAGTCACTGTGTCAGTCTCTCATTGAGAGTCATCACTTTTTCAGCTGCCCCTCCACCTTTCCAAGCAGGATGTCCCTTTCTAGGGAATAGCTTCTCCTAGAAACATGCTCAAAGTATGTGAGATGAAACTTTGCCATCCTTGCTTCCAAGGAGAATCCTGGCTGCACTTTTTCTGAGACTCTGTGGCACAGCTCTTTGTTCTTTTGCTAGTCAATGGGATATTCAATACTTACATCCAACATCACAATTACAAGGCATCAATTCTTCTGTCATCCTTATTCATTGTCATTCAGATGCATAGCAAGTAATTGAAATATCATGACCTGAATCAGGCACACCTTGTTCTTCAAATTGATACAATTGCCCCTCAGAAATTTGGAGAGATCCCTCAAACAAATTTGGTCAATATAATACATCTTCTCATCTCCTGACTGCTGGTACCAGGGGTATTGATTGTGAATCCCAGTGAGATTAATCTTTTCTTCATCTATCATGATATTGCTTATCTGTCCAGTGGTGAGGATTTTTGTCGTCTTGATATTGAGATGCAATCCATACTGAGGGTTGTAGTCTTTGATCTACTGCAGAAAGTACTTCAATTCCTCCTCACTTTCAGCAAGGAAGGTTGTGTTATCTTCATAAAACAGGCTGTTGATCAATCTTTCGTCAATCCAGATACTATATTCTTCCTCACAGAAACCAGCTTCTCACATTATTGCTCAGCATGCAGATTAAATAGTTATGGAGAAAGGATATGACCCTGCTACTTTTCCTGGTTTTAAACCATGAGCACATTAAATGTTCTGTGATTCCCATTTATATCAATGTTAACTATAGTTTGTTAAGATCCATACAGTCAAATAAATAGTTTTTTGCATAGTCAATAAAACACAAATATGCAAAAAAATTTAAAAAAAAACCCACAAACATGCATTCTTCTTTTGTTCTCTGTTTTCAGCCAGGATCAATCTGACATCAGCAATGATATCCCTGGTGCCATGACCTCATTTAAATCCAACTTGAACCTCTGGCAGTCTACTGTTCTGTTTTTTTATGATCTTCAACAGTATTTTGCTTGCATGTGTGTGACTTAATGAAATTGTTCAATAATTTCACATTCTGGTGTATTACCTTTCTTGGAAAAGAAACAATTATTAATCTCTTCAAGTCAGTTGGCCAAGCCTCTATGCTCTTAATTTCCTGAAATAGACTAATGAACATGTGAAGAGCTTCATCTGGTAGTGGAAACATGCCAGTTAATTTTCCATCATTTCCTAGGACCTTATTTTTTGCCAATGCCTTCAGTGAAGCTTGAATTTCTTCTTTCATTACCATTGGCACCTGTTCATGGCACTTTCTGAACTTTTTCAGTGTCTACCAATTCTTTTTGGTACAGTGACTCTGTATTATTTCCATCTTCTTTTGATGCTTCCTAGGTCATTCAAGATTTTGCCCAATATAGTTCCTCTCTATTTTTTCACCTTGTTCATGACTTTTTTAGGGCTATTATAATCTCCAGGGAGCTCTAATGGCTTAGTGGCAAAAAGCTACACTGCAATCCAAAAGGCACATGGTTTGAATCCACCAGTGACTCTGAGGCAGAAGGATAGGCAATCTCCTCCTGCATAATTTACTGTTTCTGAAAATCTGCTGGAGAGTCATCTGTGGGTCAGTTCCAGCCAACAATACACAGCAACAATAACATTATAATCTCTCATTAGCTACATCTTTATGTGTGTCTTTTTTTTTTCTATCTCATTCCTCATCTATCATAGTTCCCTTTAGAAGCCAAGCCTTCATGAAAATGGAATACAGTTCAGAAGTGTTAGAGAGTCGCGTAGAGACTGTGCGAAAATATTTCCCTGAGACATGGATCTGGGACTTGGTGGTGGTTGAGTAAGCAGTTTCCTTTATGTATAAAATGCAATCGTATAAAGCTCTTGCAATTTTCAATTATTAGACAATTTTTCAGTATCTAAGCACTTTGTGCAATCCTTGTGTTCTTAGCTAAAGTTTGTCATAAACATTTCTAGTAATTAATCATATCACGGCTTATAAATTGCACAAATTTAGTTATTAGATTTCTAGAAAATTAACATAAAAATTAAACAGCCATGTATTGCATAGATTAACAACTTTAAGTTGCCATTCATTGATGAACAACTTTATATTAAACATAAAACTAGTAAAGTCAATTACATACTGTAATAATAAAATGAAAACTTGTAAATCTACTCTCATTATAACAACATTTCAAGAAAACTTCAAATTATGTCTTTTGTTTTTAACTACATAATCTACTGTAGATTATTACTTCACCTTTCCATCTGTAGGACATTCTGACAGATACTGGAAGAAAAATGCTTTTATTATCTTTTGGGGTTTTTTAACTAGAGAAACAGTTATCTGCCTACTTATTTTGTCATTCTCTCCAGCTCATCAGGTATGGCTGAAGTGGAAGTAACAGTCCCTGATACCATCACCAAGTGGAAGGCAGGGGCCTTCTGCTTGTCCAATGATACTGGACTTGGTCTCTCTCCTCCTGCTACTCTCCAAGCCTTCCAGCCCCTCTTTGTGGAGCTCACATTGCCCTACTCTGTGGTCCGTGGAGAGGCCTTCACACTCAAGGCCACGGTTTTAAACTACCTTTCCCAGTGCATCCAAGTAAGGACTTTCCTAAATTAAATGTAAAGTAGAAAGAGTATTTAGAATTGAACTCCTAGGAATACTGACAAACTTCTATTTATATATGCGCTTAGTGAAGGGAATACAGTATCAGAGTGATATTCATGTGTTATTTAGATGATAGTTGTTAATGTCTCCAAATATCAAATTACAGTTTAAAATAAGGTTTAGTTTTGTGTGTTTTAAAAAAACATCACAAACAAACAAACAAGGTTTTTACCTTCTATAGTTGTTAGGGCTTGTATTATGAATATTTATGACATGGAAATAAGAAATCGGTACTCTCATTCCCATTACTTTGGTCTTTCAAAGTTTCAACCTCTGTATTCCCATATGTTGTTGTTGTTGTTATGCGCCGTTGTTACTTTTAATATAGTTACTTTTCATATAGTTACTTTTAATATAGCATTCATTATATTTTAATTTAAAACATTCTTTGAGAGCAGGACTGGAATAAATCTTATGTAGTTTGTTTGGCACAGCTGGGAGAATGGTCAATGTCCCAGACCAGGAAAATAGAGCTTCTATAGGCAACAACAACATAGGCAGCATGCCTTTCCTATCCTCTAGTTCTACTATGCTCCAAAGAAATGGATTTATAAGCAAGATAGTAACCTTTACTACCTCTGGTCTCCCAACAAGAAAGAGCAGATTAAAATATTAAGATTTAGGTATCAGATCTCCCTCTGAAGTAGTCTTCACTAGTATCATCTTTAATTTTAGATAACTTAAAATCTATCTATAATTCAGTATGCTTTATTTAGAACTCATTCTCCTTTTAACCTCCTTCTCCAAACTCTGATTTCATGTTTCTCTGGTTCTCTTATGGTTTCAGGTCCATGTGCAGCTGGAAGACTCCCCAAAATTCTTAGCTGTCCCAGTGGAAAAGGAACAAGAGTCTCACTGTATCTGTGGGAATGGGCGACAAACTGTGTCATGGGCTATAACCCCAAAGTCACTGGGTAAGGCATGATCTCATTTGTAAGATTACTTGCTCAACAATTGCATAAATCAGTAGTAGCCTTTTATCTAGCATTACTTATTCTTTCTCTCAAATAGCCCTTCCCACACACAAATAAGCCCTAACTTCACTACCATATTTAAGGGAAAGTTTTTCTGGGTATACAATTCTCAGAATTTATTTTTTCTCTCAGAGTTTTATATATGGCATTCCAGTGCCTTCTTGGCCATATAGTTTCTGCTGAGAAATCAGAGCTTAGCCTTATTGATCCTCCTTTGTAAATAGCACTTCATTTTCCCCAAACTGTTTTCCATATTGGTTTTTTTCTTTAATTTTAGAACATTTCATTATATCTTGTTTTTCATTTGGAATCTGTCTTATTTGGAGTCTGCTGAGCTTCTTGAAAGCTTGTTTTTTTTTAATATTTGAGAAGTTTTATCCCAGCAAATTTTCAGCAGTTTCTTCTTTGCCTTTATGTTTTGTTTTGGTTTACCTTTCATCTCTTCATTTCCAATCACAATGTATATTAATCCTCTTGATGTTGTCCCACTTAACTCTACAATCTTGATTTTTTTCTTCTTTCTTTTTCCTGATAGTTCCTCAACCAGATTAGCATTAAAGAATTTGTCCTCCAGTTCATTAATTCTGTTGCACTGCTTCAATATTGCTCTTTTGTCCTTCCAATGTGTTATATATTTCTGAGATCTCTGTCTTAATATTCTTAATTTGAAACAGCTAATTTGTATGTCTTCTGATTTTATTTGGTCTTGTACTGTGTGTGTGTTTAATTCTTCTGTTGTCGGTGTGTTTCAATCCACCAAGGAAATTTTAACTGTCATTGTTTTAAAATTCCTTATTAAAAAGTTCCAATAACTTTCTTCTTCTGAAAGTTTTTCTGGTTCTGTATTTTGATTTTTCTTTTATTTTTTTAAAGTGGCTTACAATTATCTATTGCCTCCAAGACATTGTGATGATGGTGTGTTTGTTTGATATAACTGAGATGTGCAAGTATGTTGCACAGCTTGTTAATTTGTCACTGTTAATTTTTACTGTTTTATCCTCTATTGGTGGGTGTAACAGATGATGGAGGTTTATGTGCAATTGTTCATATAGAGCAGTTGAGGATAGATTAGGTAGGGCTGATTGTAGTCTTTAATCAATCAAGTAGGGCAGGAGTCCAGAGGGTAAAGCCACAAGAAGTATACACACAGCTAGATCTTGTTGTTGTATGTTACCAAATGGAACAAAGAAAAAGGAAAATATAAATAAATTAAAATTTCAAGACTAGGCCATAAAAGAAAAGCCAAAACTACAAAGGAAGAAGAATCAGACTAGAAAGGGGGGGGAGAACCCACAAAGAGGAAACAAGAAAAAACTAGCAAGAGAAAGAAAAAAGCTGTAGAGAAGACAGGATTGAAGAAATGGAAAACAAACAAGCCAACAAAGATATGGAAAACAATGGAAAATAAAGATAAGAGAGAATAAAGGAGGAATCTTGGAGAGAGGTGCACTTGCCACCAGAATGGTACTTCTGTCCCTGCTGTGATGGATAGAGGCAAGGTGTCCGTCCTGGGATGGTATGTCTGCCACTCCAACAGAAGGTTGGGGTGCCCAGTCAGGTATCTGCTCATCTGAAAAGTGGCTGAGGCCCCAAGATGGTAGCCAGGCCATAGACATCATCTCTTCCAGTCTAGGGAGTGTTGATAGGCAGCATCTAGTCTGAATGGAGTTTCTAATGGCCTCAAAGAAGCCTTTTGCCGTCTGCCTGAGTAGGGATGATGTTTGTCAGTCCAGAGGATGAGTGGAGACACATTAAGGTACTTAGAGATGGCTAGTGTGAAGCGATAATCTCTAACAACCTGAGATGCTCAAGGATAACGCACAGCCTCCATGCTGCTCTAGATGTGATGCTGTCATGTGCCACATGCAGCATCTATGAAAGTGAAAGTGCCTGGTAAGAGGCAAGGACTTCATTCAGAGGTAGTGGCCCCACTGATTCAGTGGCTGGTTGCAGGTTAGACAAAGCACAGTTCATAGGCTCCCATCTATGTCTCTGATTGAAGAGCCCTGTGCATGCTCCCAGCACTAGATACAAAATGAAACAAAGACGGAATATACACCTTCTATGTTGTTAGCCAGCTGCTGATGTGGACACAGCTGCAATTCTGGGTTCCCAAGCCAACCACAAACTTTCAAAATGACCATGTGGTGGTGTTTATGGTTCTGTATTCCATTTGTTTCCTTATTTGATGTTTTCATTCTATTTATTCCTTTAGTCAATATTTTAACTCCTTTTGTTTCCTTTTAAAATCAGGGCTCCAGAATTATCATAGTTCTCTTACACATATGTAATTTTTATTTTTTGGTGTCATAATTGAAAAAGACCTGAGCTGCTATTTGCCAACTTAACTTGGAAATCCCAGAGAATCCCACATCTTAGAATTTTCTCTTTATCTTTCCGTATAAAGTGTCTAAAAGCCTATCATCACTTCCCAATTATATTCTCAGTATCACTTTCTCTAGATTATGCTGCTGCTTTTTTGGATCCTGTTTTTACAGAAAAATGGTTACATTTAACATTGAATATATAAAAATCTTAAGGTTTGGAAATATACTGGCCCTTTTTTCAGGAAATGTGAATTTCACTGTGAGTGCAGAGGCACTGGAGTCTGAAGAGCTGTGTGGGACAGAGAAGACTGTGGTTCCTAAAATGGGAAAGAAAGATACAGTCATCAAGTCCCTGCTGGTTGAAGTAAGTAAGCAGGCCTTCCCTTTTGCTCCATCATACTGAGTAAAGAAATAATAGTAAGCTGGTAAAGGTAGCTGGAGTTCCGACTTATAGATTAGGAGTAAGGTCAAATGATGTATTATCGTGGAATATTTCGCATTATTCTCTCTCTTCATTTTCTACTCCTTTTCTCATCTGTCAACTTAATTCATTGCTCTTTCTTATGCTCACAATATTTGTTCATATGATAAATTTGAAAATCAGTTCAAATTTTTCTCTTTGCTATCAAGAAATCTACTGTTCCATTATTATGGGGGGAAATTTAATCCCACCATTCAGATTCTGTAAGGATCAATTGCAATCCGTTCTGTTTCCATGTCTCCAGGAGGGACACACTACCCTCCCATGTGTACTGATGTCCTTCACTGCCCAGAAAGTCCACATAATTTCTGTATCTAGAGTCTTCGCTGGAGCCTCGTTGATTGAATCATGATTCTCTACTTTTCTCTGAGATCAGTGCTGTGGTTTTTCTGGCCTCACTTGCATAAAGTCTCAGGTGTGGTCTGGAGATCACTATATAGTAATTGCTCTGGAAATTCCTAGATTTAGTGTTACCTATCAGGAACCAAGGCTAAAAACCAACTTATATAAACAAATTCTTTACCACCACATCTCTCAACACATGTATCCTGAATGCTCAGTACATTCTCAACTCTACCTTTTTCCTTTTCCTCCCAAGCCTGAAGGACTAGAGAAGGAGACAACATTCAATTCCTTGTTGTGCCCATCAGGTAAGATTAAGCCATAAGTAAAACAGCAATGACTAACATTTGTAAAGAATTCGTATGTATTATTTCTGTTCTCTCCCTAAGAGGTAAATAAGATCTGAAGCATGAAGGAAGAAACTTCTTAAAAAAGCATGCAATTGGAACAGAAGAATATCCCTAGCGCCTGCATCTGTCAGTTTGTAGGACTGTGGGGCCTTAAGTGTTGCTGTGATATTGGAGCTAAACCAGCAGGGTCACCCATGATGACAGGTTTCAGCAGACAAAAAGAGAAGGAAATACCTGGTGATCTACTTCCAAAATTTAGCCAATGAAAACCCTATGGGTCACAACACAGTAGTGTCCAATGTAGTGTTAGAAAGTGAGCCCCTTGGGTTGGAAGGCTCAAAAAGTATACAATGATTGCAAAAAATGGACTTGAGTGTACTAATGATCATGAAGATGGCACAGACCAGACATTTTCTTCTATTGTAAATAGAGTTGATGTGACTCAAAGTTGATTACTAACAACCACATGCACTCTACATCTTTATCTCTTGCAGCATCTGTGCAGAAATCCATGTCTTTCCTGCTAGTGTTTGAGTCAGGTATAGAGACTTGAGCAAAATAAAAATTAATATATGTTCTTGAATATTTAATATCGTATTGTTTTGTACCACTGAGTTGGAACTGTCCCACAGCTGATGCTCCAGAGGGTTTTCGGAGGCAGTTAATCACACGAGAGGAGATTGCCTATCCTTCTCCCATGGATTTAGTATCACAAAGTATGAATATCTGAATTACAAACACTGGTTTTTGCATAGCCAACAGTTTTATATCGTTTTTGTTTAGGACTGTCGAGTCAGAATTGACTCATACTGACCTTCTAACAGGTTTTCAGAGGTAGTAAATGGCACAGGAGGTTGCCCATCTTTCTCCCAAAAAGCAGCCAGTGGATTTGAATCATGTACCTTTAGGTTGGCAGTACAACCTGATTAAGCCACTAGAAATTCTCCCTTATCTTTTCAATATAAAATATAGCTTTATTCTTATAATGTTGTGTACTATCAAGTTGGAGCCAAGGTGACCATCCATCCAGTGGCTTTTTAGAGGCAGTTTATCACACAGGAGGAGACTGCCCATTCTTTCCCCGTGGAGCACATGCTTTGGGGATTTCAACACAGTTTCCTTCCACTAGGTCATCAGGGCTCTCATTTTTATAGTAAAGCTGTCTTATTTCCCAAAGAACTATTTGTTATGGACTTTATCACTATTGTCAAATAAATGAATATTTGTTGTTGTTGTTGTTTTTATGTGCCGTCGAGTCACTTGCAACTCATAGTGACCCTATGTACAACAACCCTAAACCCTGTTCAGTCCTGTACCAATCTCACTGTCTCCGATACAACCATCCTGATTACTTCAGTCACTGAATCAATACACTTCATAGAGGGCCTTCCCCTCCTGTGCTGTCCCTCTACCCTCCCAAGCATGATGTCTCTCCTTACAACATGTCCAAAGTATGTTAGACAGAGCCTCAGAATCCTTGCCTCCAAGGAGCAGCCTGGTTTAATCCTCTCCCGGATGAATCTGTTTGTTTTCTTAGCAGTCCATAGTACCCTCAATACTCTTCTCCAGCACCACAGCTCAAAGGCATCAATTCTCCTTCTATCCTCCTTAGTCACTGTCCAACTCTCTGATACATAACAAATGATTGCAAAGACCATGGACTATATCAGAAGCACCTTGGGATGTTTTTAATAACATTTTTTATTTTAATTGTAATTTTAATGAAAGTGTACAGAAAAATTGGATTTTGATTCATTCATTGTTGTACCTTTTTACCTCCTCTCCCTCCTTTTCCCCTCCCACAGTTCACTTTTTTGTTTTTTTTAAATATTCATTCATTGTTGCACAATTACCTCCCTTCCCCACCACCGTCCCCACCTCCCCAGTCCTCTTTCCAATATACCTCTTATTCTGGGCTATGGTTGTACATATAATGCCTAATCATATATTCTTTTTAAACAGTTCTTTACTTCATCTATTCCAGTGCAATGTTTCTTGCTGCATTATATACAGTAGCAAAGGAATGGAAGCAACCCAAGGATCCATTAAATAAATGTTTAGAAAAACTATAGTATATTCACACAATGGAATACTGTGCAGCACTGAAGAACAATCAACTCATAAAACATTACACAACATGGGTGACCCTGCAGGACATTTGAGTGAAGTATCTCAGTTACAAAAGGACAAATACTACATATTACCACTGCTATAAAGCATGTCTGACACGAGAGTTTGGGAGAAAAATAAATGAATATTTGTTGGATACCATATCTAAGATCAGTCAACAAGTCACTTGAGAAAGACTAAAGAACCTTTAAGGAAAGACATGATTTTTATCTCAGTGGAGGATGTTCTAATCTATAGCAAACTCATTTCTAGAATGTAGTACACTAATAAATTAGCATTCTCACCTCAAACTAATGTTAAATGTTACGCATTATCTTTCTCTACCACTGACTTCTGTTTCCTTTGTTCTGTTGTTGAGATGACACAACTAGGTGGATTGACATGGTGACTGCTGCAATGGGCTCTAATGTGTCAGGAAGTGTGAGGATGGCATAGGATAGAACAGGTTTCAGATCTGCTATTTATAAGGTCTCTATGAGTCTTTACTTGATGGCACCTAACAATAACAATCACAAAAACATTGTTGTTGTTTGATATTGTCAAGACTTGAAGTATATTAAATGTGTTCTGAAAAGCACAATTGTCTGGTTGGAGAGGCAGTGGAATGGTTGCAAAAGGTGACATGGACAAAAAATTCCAGAATTCTAGTCATCCAAAATACTAAAGAATAGGTTATTTTAAAAGATAAATTTTAAAGCTTAGATGTACTGCACAGTCCTAGAGCTCATCCGGAAGATATATGGTGTATGTAATTCTCATTATGGCTAATTTGTTTCTTTCTCAAGGTGCAGAGGTATCTGAAGTATTATCCCTGAAGGTGCCACCAAACGTGGTAGAGGAATCTGCCCGAGCTTCTGTTTCAGTTTTAGGTAAATTCCACCCCTAAGGCACTTGGTTGGGTGTTAATAGCTTCCACTAAAACAACTTAAATTTTTAACTTCTTTCTTCTTTGGGCTCATATATCTATCCCTGGGAGATTCACCTTTCCTAAAAATATTCATTCTTTTACTTTGTCTTATTATTCATTTGTTCTTCATGGATTGTGCTGGATTATAAACTCTAAATTTTATGATTCCCGTCTCTTCCATTTCCCAGGAGACATCCTAGGCTCTGCCATGCAAAACACACAAAATCTCCTCCAGATGCCCTATGGCTGTGGAGAACAGAACATGGTCCTCTTTGCTCCTAACATTTATGTTCTGGATTATCTGAATGAAACACAGCAACTCACTCCAGAAATCAAGACCAAGGCAATTGGCTACCTCATCAATGGTGAGTAACAGCACATGTGAGTAAAAACTTCATAATGTTATTTTCACTGGAATTTGAGTTGGTCCTTGCTTCTACGTTGATAACAATGAAAGAGTGGTTCATTTCATTATTAAATATCCACTGTTCACTTTTTTTTATTTTTTAATTGTTATTTTAACAAAAGTTTACAACAAAGTGGGATTTTTTTTATTATTTCTTTGTTGCACATTTTCCTCCCTCTCCCTCCTTTTCCCCCTCCTTAGTTCACTTTCTTTTTTAAAAAAATATTCATTCATTGTTTGCACAATTTCTTTCCTCCCCTTTCCCCCCTCCCCCTCCTCTTGTCCTCTTAGCAATATACCTCTTATTCTGGATGATTGTCTTACATATAATACCTAATCATATATTCCTTTTAAACAGTTCTCTCACTCATCTGTTCCAATGCAGTGTTCATTGTCTATCCACTCTTTTCCTATTCTCCTCCCAACCTCCCATGTCATTCCTGCTTAATAGCAGTGGTGTTATGTAGTATTTGTCCTTATGTAGTATTTGTCCTTTTAAGACTGAGACATTTCACTTAGCATAATGTCCTCCAGTGTTCCCTATGTTGTGTAATGTTTAATGAGTTCATTATTTTTCAGTGCTGCTTAGGATTTCATTGTGTGAATATACCATGGTTTTTCTACACATTTTTTTTTGTTGATAGGCACTTCAGTTGTTGCCATCTCTCTGCTGTTGTGAATAACACAGCAATAAACATTGGTGTGCATACATCCATTTGGATGGTTGTTCTGGTTTCTTTGGGGTATATTCCCAGTGCTGAGTCAAATGATATTTCTAACTTTTTGAGAAAACACAAAACCTCCTTCCGGAGTGGTTGTACCATTTTACACTCCCACCAGGAGTGACTAAAAGAGTTCCATTCTCTCCACAACCTCACCAGCATTTGTTGTTTGCTGCTCTGTTGAACTTTGCTATTGTTACTGGAGTGAGATGATATAGCAGTTTTCACATTGTTCTTTTTAATAAAATGGCTAAGGCTCGGAACTTTATACCAGCACAACAAAATTGAGGAAATTCACCAGAAAGGCCAAAACATTCAATACTGTCTCCAGCCTAAGCATACCCATTAGTGTTATTTCATGTACATTTCTGCTTCAGGTTACCAGAGACAGCTGAACTACAAGCACCATGATGGCTGCTACAGCACATTCGGGGAAAAATATAACCGAAACCCAGGGAATACATGGTAAGAGAGGACTGTTTGTTGACCTTTTCTTTTTTGTGCCACTTTATTATATGTATTACCATAACTATATTCACAAGTACCCAATTAGATGTGTGCTATTAGAGTAGGTTATGCTAGATAAACAAGGTTGATTATATTTATCAGAGGTAGTAAATTTTACGGGAGAAGATTCCTTATCTTTCTCCCATGGAGCAGCTGATAGATTTGAACTGAATGTCCTTGGATTGGCAGTGCAGCGCAACTCCTTACCACTAGACCACCAGAGCACCCTTTTTCCTAATAACTTGTTCTAATTGAGCTAGATAAATATACCAAGATTAATGAATTAATGAATTAATAAGCCCCCCCAAAAAAACCCCAGGATATATGTTAGGCTTGTTCCCTACATTAATTCCATTAGTTGGGGGGGTGGGGGGGGTGTGTGTTGATAATTTATTTTTATTTTTTATTGGTTTGCTTACAAAGTTTTGTGTTTCACACTGTCCTTCATCCATATTTTATTTTATATGATAATTCCCATTCACTGTATTTTGTAAAATTAATCACCATTGAACTAAGCCCATCATTACCCTGTCTTTCCTGCTCCAATTGGGATTTTTTCCCAACTCCCTTACCCTTCCTCCTTCCAACCTACCAAATTGTATGACCCTATGATTCCCCCATCCTCACCCCTCTGCTCTCAAGATATTCTTTTAAAATAATTCCCATAATCATTAGTTTGTTTTTTTGTGAATTATTGGTTTGATGTTTTGTTGAGTTTTTTTAATGACATAGCAAGTGAACAAACAAATTATCAACTTCTCAATAAAACACCTCCATTTCAGCTTGTATTATACATTTTTATAGATTATACTAACTTAATTTAGAATAAATTAACTAACATAAGGGATAAAATTGGAAGAAGACAATGATAGGAAACATTATATTTTAAGTCTCTACAACAAAAGGTAACTCGTGGTTGCTATGACGCAGACCACTGTGTCACTGATGTGCCAAATGCGATAATAGTTACCCATGGAGGGCAGTGTTTGGTGGAGCTTCCCAATTAAAACAAGCTTGGAAGCAGGAGTGACATCTACATCTACAAATGGCTTGCTTCCGGAAACTCTATGAACGTGGAGAAATGACGAAAGATTTACAAGTGTTCAGGTCTTTCATTCCTAAGGTTGCTATGAGACATCTACGACTCGATGGCACTTAACAACAACAACAATTAGAACAAGTTATTAGGTAAAAAGGGTACTCTAATGGTCTAGTGGTAAGGAGTTGAGCTGCACTGCCAGTCCAAGGGCATTCAGTTCAAATCCACAAGCTGCTCCATGGGAGAAAGATAGGGAACCTTCTCCTATTCAACGTACAATTTACTACCTCTGAAAATCTGCTAAAGGGTCAGCTATGAATTGTTTCTGACTCCAAAGCACAGCACAACAGCAGAAATATATATAGTATATCTTATATATTGCTGGTGCTGTGATGTGCTTTGGAGTCAGAAACAATTCATAGCTCAGGTGCCCTAGTGGCAAGGAGCTGCACTGTAATCCCAAAGGCACCCAGTTCAAGGCCACCAGCTGCTATGCAGAAGGATGGGCAGTCTCCTCTTGTGCAGTTAACTGCTTCTGAAAACCCACCAGAGGGACAGCTATGTGTCGGTTCTGACTCTACAGTACACAACAACAACCACAACAACAAATATATATGTATGTATGGGGGGGGTTGTGTATGTATAAAAGCTGCATTTGAGAATATTCTTTCAGCTATAGAAAGAAGCCTCTAAACAGGAAAGAAATAAAAGATTCACTAAAAAACTAAGAAAAATAAAAATATTTTGCACAATCAATGACTTACTCATTGCAAATATGTTTTTAAGAGACATAAACATAGATTATACACATGGATTTCACCTGATGGTATGCATAAGAATCAGATCTATTACATCTGTGGAAAAAAACCACTGGAGAAGCTCAATATCAGCTGTGAAAACTAGGCCAGGAGCCGATTGTGGAACAGACCACCAACTACTCATATGCAGGTTCAAGCTGAAGCTGAGGAAAATTAAACCGAATCCACAGGAGCCAAAATATGATTTTAATTTCATACCACCTGAATTTCAGAATCATCTCAGGAACAGGTTTGAGGCCTTGAACACTAATGAGCGAAGACCAGATGAGTTGTGGGAGGATGTTAAATGTATCATCCAGGAAGAGTGCAGGCAGTCATTACAAAGACAGAAGAGGAAGAAAAGACCAAAATGGATGTCAGAAGAAACTCTGAAGATTGCACTGGAGCGTAGAGAAGCCAAAGCACAAGGAAGAATCCAAGACACTAAACAGCTGAACAGAAGATTCCAAAAGGCAGCACAGAATGACAAAGCAAAATACTACAATGAAATGGGCGAGGAGCTAGAGTCGGAAAATCAAAAGGGCCGAACTCGTTCAGCATTTCTTAAGCTCAAGGAACTGAAGAGCAAATTCAAACCTCGAGTTGCTACAATCAAGGATGCTTTAGGCAGAATGTTAAATGATCCAGGAGGTATCAAAAGAAGATGGGAGGAATATACTGAGTCATTGTACCGAAAGGGATTGGCAGATACAGAAGAATTTAATGAAATAGCATTTGAGCCAGAGCCTATGGTGATGAAGGCAGAAGTTCAAGCTGCTTTGAAGGAAATAGCAAAAAGTAAGGCCCCGGGAATAGATGGTATACCGATTGACATATTTCAGCTAACAGATGCTGCCGTGGATGGGCTCATCAAGTTGTGCCAAGAAATCTGGAGAACAACCACTTGGCCAACTGACTGGAAGAGGTCTATATTTGTTCCCATCCCAAAGAAGGGCGACCCAACTGAGTGTGGAAACTACAGAACAATATCATTGATTTCACATGCAAGCAAGATTCTACTGAAGATTATCCAAAAACGACTGGAAGAGTACATTAGCAGAGAATTGCCAGAAGTCCAGGCTGGGTTTAGAAGGGGTCGTGGTACTAGGGATATAGTAGCTGATGTTAGATGGATCTTAGCTGAAAGCAGAGAATACCAGAAGAATATCTATCTGTGTTTCGTTGCTTATGCAAAGGCATTTGACTGCGTGAATCATAGCAAACTGTGGCTGACTCTGAGAAGAATGGGAATCCCAGAACATTTAATCGTGCTAATGTGAAATCTATACTTGGACCAAGAGGCAGTCATCAGAACAAAGCAGGGCAACACTGCATGGTCCAAAATTGGGAAGGGTGTACGCCAGGGATGTGTCCTATCTCCATACCTTTGCAACCTGTATGCAGAGAAGATTATCCGAGAGGCGGGGCTCTATGAGGAGAAGCATGGCGTTAGTTTTGGTGGACAATCTATCAACAATTTGTTATGCAGATGACACAACCTTGCTCACTGAAACTGAGGAGGACCTCATGCACTTGCTGCAGAGGGTCAAGGACTACAGCCTTCAATATGGACTGAGGCTCAATGTCAAGAAGACAAAAATTCTCACCACTGGACCAATCGGTAGCATC